ACAACCACTAATCTATTTTCTTTTTTAAAATTTATGTTTTTAATTTTATTATTTTTTTACTTTATAGAGAGAGTAAGTGAGCATAAGCAGGGGAGAGGTGCAGAGGGCAGAGGTGGGGAGAGATAGCGAGGGGGGGGGGAGGGAGAGAGAATGAGAGAGAATATCTTAAGAATATCCACACACAGCATGGAGCTCAACCCAGGTTTCTATTCCATGACCTTGGGATCATGACCTGAGCCAAAAGCAAGAGTCAGATGTTCAACCAACTGAACCACCCAAGCAGCCCTCTGTTTTCTATCTCTATAGATTTGTTTATTCTGGACATTTCATAAAGATGGAATCACACAATATATGGTCTTTTTATAACAGACTTCTTTCACTTAGCATGTTTTCAAGGTTCATCTATGGGATAGCACATATCCGTACTTCATTTCTTTTTCTGGCCAAATAATTTCCCATTGTACAGCTCTATCACATTTTATTTCTTTTTTGTTTTTAGCTAACATACAGTGTATACAGTATGGTCTTGGCTTCAGGAGTAGATTCCCATGATTCATCACTTACATACAACACCAAGTGCTCATTCCAACAAGTGTCCTCAATGCCCATCACCCATTTTCCCCTCTCTCCAACCCTCCCCCCATCAACGCTCAGTTTGTTCTCTGTAATTAAGAGTCTCTTATGGTTTGCCTCCCTCACATTTTATTTCTCCATCAAATGATGGATGTTTGGGTTGTTTCCACTTATTGGCTCCTAAGGACAATGATGCAATGGACATCTGCACACAAGTTTTTGTGTAGAAATGTGTTTTCATTACAAGCGATTTTTGAAGAGAGTTTTTAGATGATTTTCCCTCTGACAAAAAAGAACTATAAAAAATATTTAATGGGCTTGTTTTTCACAGAGGTATGGGTTAGAAACCTGAAATGAATTTTTGTGTATGATAGAATTAAGCAAATAAGCAAATATCCTAAAGTTAGTGGGAGCCAACTCTCTCACAGAGAAAGGAATCACAAATAATGAAAAGGGAAGACTAGAATGAACCCTGTGGAGTTGGGTTGAATTTAGAGATCTTAGTACAAACTCATGATTTTCATATAGATAGATTCATAGGAAGAGAAAGAGACATAGCTATAAATCCTAATTCTGCCTTTTGAGAGAGGGCCTAGAAGGAATGACACTCCAGGAACATTGAGCACCTCTAATGCCTGGAATGTGATTTCTAAACATCATTCTCCACTAAAATGAATCAAGGCTCCTTAAAGAAATGGCTGATTTCAGGGCTGGGGCAGAAAAAGAACAAGTTTAGCCTGGAACATCTTGTTATGCCAAGATATATAAAGAAGAATGTTTGAAGAATGATGGGGTCAATGTCAATAGGAGTCAATGGAAGTCAGCTTGAAGGGGCTCCCATTAGACAAATCTGGGACAATTTGACCATCAAAATAAATAATGGTAGTGATGGATTCTAAAGCCACTGAATAGAAATTCATGAGCCCAAACTGATATAAATAAATGAATAATTAAATAGGAAAGAAGGGAAAGCAATTCCTTATATTCAAATGCCAGCTGAAAATGTAAAAAGCATGATGTATTCAGAAAATTACCATCTGGCAAACGTAATATTTATCGATTCAGGCAAGGATCGTGAATGGCTGCTGAAGTTAATGAGTAAAAGTCTGATACATAACAGCATATTTGTATAATATTAAAGTATCTCCTCACAAAATACTTATTCTGTAGAAAGGGAAAAAAGAGGAACTTTACAGCGGAGAAACAGGCAGACACCACCTTAATCCGAATGCTCAGAACTGTGGTGTGCCAGAGTCAACTCATACCAACTCAGGGGCACACCTCTTCCCAATTTTGTGTTCAGTGATGACATTACAGTAGCTTGAAATTGGCCATGGTGAGAGTATTTACAAATGGAAATTGACAAATATTACGAAATCAGGGCTTCTCTTCCTCTGGATAACCAGCTGTTAAACATTTGTCAGCATAACAGTGGATCAAAGATACTACCACCATAACTAACTTATGTGCCTCCGGATTCTGCCCACCAAGAACACGACATCACTCTGCCAAAAATGTATAACCACAATCTAATGATTGAGAAAGTATCAGGAAAAACCTAAATTGAGAGACAGCCTACAAAATAACTGGCCTCCATTAGCAAAATATCAGGGTCATGAAAGACAAAAAGAAGATTTGGGTGGTTAATTTTACATGTCAACTTGACTGGGCTAAGGGATGCCCAGATAGCTGGTAAAACATTATTTCTAGGTGTGTTTGTGAGGGTGTTTCCAGAAGAGATTAGCATTTGAATTGGTAGACCAATAAAGATCACCCTCACCAATGCAGAGTATCATCAGATCCATTGAGGGCCCTGAAGAGGACAAAAAGGCAGAGGAAGGTTGAATGTGCTCCCCGCCTAAGCTGGAACACACATCTTCTCCTGCCCTCAGACATCAGTGCTCCCGGTTCTCAGGCCTCTGGACTTGGATAAGGACTTACACCATTGCCAGCTTGCAGATGGAAAATCGTGAGACTTCGCAGCCCCCACAATCACATGAGCCAATTCCTATAAATTTCCTCATATATAAGTATATATACATGCATACATGCATGTGGAGATACGCAAGCTCATATATATATATATACACACACACACACACACATACACATGTATATGCGTGTAAATATATATGTAGGTATATATCTCTCCTGTTGGTATTTTCCTCTGGAGAATCTTAACTAATACAATGACTAAGGAAATGTTTCGGATTAGAGAAGGAAGGATAAAGTGACTTGGCAACCACATGCAATATGTAATCCTGATTGAATCTTAGCCTAGAAAAAAAAATGTTTGTTATTAAGGTCATCATTGGGACCTTAACTGGTGAAATACGAATAAAATCTTTAGATTGTAGTATTATAGCAATACTAAGATCCTGATTTTGACCACGGTATTATGGTTACAAAAAGAATGCCCCAAATGCATACAAAAGTTTTTAGGAGTTGGGGCGCATCAATATGTGACTCTCTCAGATGGTTCTCAGGAGGAAAGGAAGGAAGAGAGAAATTTTTTTTGAGAAAGATGATAAAGCAAATGTGGCTAAATGTTAACAAAAGGCAAGCTGGGTGGACATCCGTCGTTTTTTTTTTTTTGTGGGGGGTTTGTGTGTGTGTGTGTGTGTGTGTGTGTGTTTACAATTCTGGGAACTTCTCTGTAAATTTGAATTTACTTAAAAATTTAAAGTCATAAGGAAAAAACCGTGAATGCTACCTGGTGCTCCGCGCTCATCTTTGTGGAGGCAGCCGGAAGGAGGCGGTGAGCCAGGGCTTTTCCGTGGCCTCAAGCACCCGAGGGCTGCAGGGTCACGACAGAAGCAAAAGCAGCGTCCTCCACCAACTCGCCGGGAGCCACGTAAGGCTCAGGCTCCTGGCACAGGCGCAGGACAGCAGCTCACTCAGCACCTTCCTGCGCCCGCATTGGCGGGGGGCAGAGTGACGTCAAGTGCCTCACAGCCTGGCGCTCCAGCGGCTCGAGGCTCTGCAGGAGCCGCAGGTGTGAGGGCCCCGCCTCCAGGTGACCCCAGGTGCAGGCTCGCGGAACCTCAGCCCGGGATCTGGGCCACAGGGGGCGCCCCTTAAGCAAGCGCATATTCTTTTGATAATTGATTTTTGAGAGACCAAGTGCGAGCTGGGGAAGGGCAGAGAGAGGGAGACAGAATCCGAAGCAGGCTTCTGGGTCTGCACTGATGGGGGTCCTGAACCCAGGAACCGGGAGATCATGACCTGAGCTGAAGTCAGAGGCTTAAAAGACTGAGCCACCCAGATGCCCCATACTCAAAGTCATGACTGTTGGCCTCAGGTGGCTAACACCCACCCCCACCCAAGCCCAGTGTTGTAACCACCGGCCCACTTTCCTCTTGATTTGGGGTCCTGGAATTAGGTAGTGGAACTCACAGCCGCAGAGAGAAGTTGGGAGCTCCCTGGGAAGGCAGAATTCAGTAAAAGCATCTTCTTCAAAAGCCTTAATGTTTCCTTAGTATTATTGTCTTCAAAAACCCAATGTTTGTGGTCCAGGTGGTGTTACTAGTGAATTTCCAGAAGGAGATGTGGAAACCTTGGCAATACCAGCGGGCCACACACACAACCCCCCCTCCCCCCCAGCGGCGGGGGGCGGGTTGTTTCTGGGCTTTCTCATTATCAATAAGTAGGGTTGCACATAAATGTGTCCCAGCCTTACAAAGCCTGTTCTGATCTACGGCTTCCTGCTCAAGCAACACTCGGAGACAGACAGCAGGTGGTGGGGTACGCCAAAGGTATAGTGCTTCTGCCACTTACCGTGGTATGTTTTCTGATGAAAGCCGATTTATAGGATGAAGCCATTGTATTTGAATTTTGAGGTGAAAATAGTGGGCTGCACAGATTACAGACTGAGGTGCTGCTAAACCATGTTGACTGTGATTATAGTGGCTCTTGCGAGTTTCCTCATTCCTGTATAGACAAGGAGGATTATTTCTATTGTTTAGCATAGCACCTGGCACACGGTATGTGTTTGGTAACTATCTCAATGACTGTAAAATGCCCTGCACATTCTGAAGAACTGGAGTGATCATTCTCCCATCACCTGTGAATCTGCAAGTAATTTTGCCTATGTTAGCACTGCCATTATTCTTTAAAATGGTGTTTTGTAAAAGCGTAGCCTTACTGTTTTTGCAGAAGTTCTGAGGTTCCCAGTGTTCTCAAATGCTGAGCAGTGAAAGACCGAATAACCCAGTCATGATCTGTCTTCATTCTGTATTCATGGAATCTGCTTACCATCACCTCTCTTTTCCTTTCATCCCCTATCCCAAACAAAATGAAAGGATTCCATAATGAAAAGGTGAAGGAAACAGGACTATTTATTTTAATGGAGCAGGCAGGCAGATCAAACAAATTGAAAACACATAATCAACACTATATTGGGAGAAGGTAAATGGATTTTTGATGACTGACAGCAACCACATTTATCCCCTATTGTTAATAGAGAGAAAAATGTCTCCAGATAACCAGTGGTCAGCAGATGGGGATGAAAGCCCACTCGCCCGACTGATTAGGAAATCTAGAGACTTCCCCTTTGTTCCCGTAGGTAAGTACAAGCCTTGACACTGGAGAACTGTTTGTACTAACAGTAATGCCTTACCCAGTATCTTTGAGAATGGAAATGTTTTACATCATTGAGTTTTTAGGATAATTGGAGTTAAGCCTCTCTAAGCATAAGTTAAACTTTCAGAACAGTTTCTAGTATATGGCAAATCCCCAGTAAATGTTAGCTATTTTTATTATGAAGGTTCACATCTTATTTAACTCCTTTTCATTCGAGGTCCTTCTCAAATTACTAGTTCCCAGCCACTCAAACTGGAGTTGATTGAATGAACTTTAACAGTTCTGTGATGAGGAGGATCATTAGCAGTATCAGTTTATTATAATGAAAGTCTAAGAGTTATTACTGAGATGTATCTGTCTCTTTCCATTCTAACTCCAACCTTTAAGCTCTTGTGTCTGACATTTATAGATTTTTCTGTCTCTTTTATTAATGTTGAGTGCAATCAAAACCTTCTGCTACTAGTATTCTGGGGCACCAGAAGCTAGATACCCGAGTTTAAAAGAATTGTTAGTCAACTCAGAGTAAAGAAGCTCTGAATGAAAAAGCTGAGGCCTATCTGTACCCCTGAGAGCATAAACTTTGTGATGTTCATGTTCAGTGGCCCTTTTTGCTGGTTTCCGGAAATGTTTCAGATGTTGAGGTTGAGGGTTAAATAAACTCTAGATTAAAGAAGTGGTATTATGGGGCGCCTGGGTGGCTTAGTTGGTTAAGCATCCGACTTTCGCTTGGGTCATGATCTCGCGGTTCGTGGGTTCGAGCCCAGCGTCGGGCTCTGTGCTGACTGCCAGCTCAGAGCCTGGAGCCTATTTCAGAGTCTGTGTCTCCCTCTCTCTCTGACCCTCCCCTGCTCAAGATGTCTCTCTCTCTCCTAGAAATAAATAAAAATATTTTTTTAAAAAGTGGTATTATAATTAGACCTGCACCTGGAGTCTTAACCTCTTTATCCTTTCCTGACACAGACTTAATATGCTTATATTTAGAACAAATACTATATGTATGTGGACTTAAAAAAAAAAAAAACAGCACACACACACACACACACATACACAATCTAAGCACCAATAATATGTTTTAAAATCTAAGTTTTCTCTTTCTTCTTTGGTTGCTTACGCTGATATAAGCATTATTATTGCATACTGCAGCCATGCCTCTTTCCTGGTATTCATTTGGTCTGGAAGTTATAAAAATAATTTATTTAAATGAGACATTATGTAAGTTACACTTACATAAATGATTAATTCCCTAAAACCTTCTGAATAGGTATGTCATTATGTTTCTATTATCATTGAAAATGTAGCAACCTCATAAGTGTCATTATTCACATATTAAAAAGAATCAAAATTTTACTTTATACTAATATGCTGTTTAGAAGTTTAATTTGATTTGATTAAAGCTTGATAATAGCACCCACAAGAAATGGAAGCAAATACTGTTATAGTGATTCATCTTCCTTAGCATTTTTAACTAGGAAAACAATTCAAGAACGTGATGTACCTTGAACAGATTACTGTCATGAACAGAGATTAATCACGGTGCCTACTGCAAATTAAATTATTTTTTCCAGAGACATTTAGGGTGATTAAAGCAGTAAGATAAAAGTGTTTACAGCTAAATTCAATTATATATAAACTACAGAGACACTACATAGAAAACAGTAAAGGTTCTGACTTTAATCTCCAAAAGAAACAAAACCAATTTAACTAAGAACAGAGCCTTGATTTGATAAGGGAAGAGAATCAAGTTTTTGCTAGAAAAATAAATGATAAAATTTGAATATATATTATTGAATAGTTTGTTTAGCTATTGTTATTTTAATACCTACTATGTATTTCCTGCTGCAGGGAGTGAGCTGTACAGAAAGTTCACAAAACATTTTTATTTATCTTAAAACAATGTCCATCATTATAATCTTATATTGCTTAAAATTATTTTATGATCACTGGTAAGGTCTCTGCACACATTATATACAGTGAAACTCTGTGTTGACAGAAGACTGTTTTTTTCTTCTTTCACTTAACATTTCATATGTACATTTCTGTGTATTAGTACTTCCCATGCTTATAGTTTTTTTCACAGCTATGGCAGTTTTTCCTCTGTTTGGGCCATTTGTGTGGTTCAGTTTTTCTTCATACATAGTGTAGCTATAAGCATCTTTGTGTCAACTTCTTGAAGTTTCTTTTGCTTTATTTCCTTGGAGTATCAATTTCCAGGGCAGGAAGTACATGCAATCTAATACCCCTTATTATATATTTCCAGAGTTGGCTCAACTCAGAGCATTCAGCATTGTGCCTGTTTCTCAACATGCCTACCACTGTTCTATTATTACTTGTTTCTTGCTGTTTTGGTCATTTTAATTTTGATTTCATTTGCTAATCAGCCTATAAAATATACATGTCAGTGCAATTACTCTGACTCTTACTTCCACTTATTAAATGGGCTCTGAAAGAATAAATATATCCTCATCCACCCAGAGAGGCACACATGTGCCAATATAACTAATCAAAACTTGCTATCCTACATAAATATCAACTGCATTTCTATATATTAACAACAAACATATGGAAACTGAAAAACAAAACCTCACTTACTGTCACTCCAAAGACCATGAAATGCTTAGATATATGCTTCACAAAGCATATATGCAATCTGTATGCTGAAAATTACGAAATGTGAATGAAAGAAATAAAAAAGGACCTAAGTAAATGTAAAGACCACAGGTAGTATTGTGTTCATGGATTGGAAGACTCTCCCCAAATTGATCTACAGGTTTAATGTAATTCCTATCAAAATCCCATAAGGTTTTTTGTAGATAAGACAAGCTTATTCCAAAATTTACACATAAAGGGGCACCTGGGTGACTTAGTCAGTTGGGCTCCAGCTCTTGATTTAGGCTCAGGTCATAATCTCTGGGTTCATGATTTGAGCCCCACGTCACTGGGATTCTCTCTCTTTTAAAAATAAATAAACTTAAAAAAATATTTTCAGGGGCACCTGGGTGGCTCAGTAGGTTAAGCATCCAACTTCGGCTCAGGTCATGATCTTATGGTCCGTGAGTTTGAGTCCGTGTCAAGCTCTGCGCTGACAGCTCAGAGCCTGGAGCCTGCTTCGGATTCTGTGTCTCCCTCTCTCTCTGCCTCTTCCCTGCTCATGCTCTGTCTCTCTCTCTCTCTCTCTCTTAAAAATAAATAAACATTAAAATTTGTTTTTAAAAACTGTTAAAAAAGTTTTAAAAATCCAATAAAAAATAAAAATTACATGTAAAGGCAGAAGTCCTAGAATGGCTAAAACATTAAAAAAAAAAAAAAAAGATAAAGTGGGAGAAATCACTCTACCTGATAGGGAAACTTAGTATATAGTTACAGTAATCAAGACAGTGTGGTATTGATGTGGGGACGGATACACAGACCAACAAGATAGAAGAGAAACCCCTAAAAATAGACTCATGTTATCATTATGCAAAAGTTTCCTTTATTCTTATATCAAAATGGCATTTTGTCCTTACCATTTTTTCTTAAGTCTATTTTACCTTCTTTTAGATGTTATAAATCTGCTATTTCTCCTAGTTTTTATCAGCATTTTTGTTTTGTTTTTACATTTAATTCTAACTCATGCAGAATTTTTTTGGAGGGTCTGCTGTGAGCTACAAATCCAAATTAGTTCCTCATGCTAACAAATTGTACCAATGGTATTTATTAAATAATTACTCCTTTATCTGTTATTTGGTTATTGTGATTTGTCATGAATTCTCACAGTGTTTTAAATCTCTTTCTAGAACCTTTCCAGACGAGATCGGGTGCGTTCAGGGTGGTATGGCTGTAGTTTCTAGAACCTTTCCAATTCAGTTGATCAGTTTTCTGTCTTAGAGCCAATTTACACAAGATCTTGGTTGTCACAGCAGTATATTGCCATTAGCAATGGCAGGGAACACAACAGTACTTGTGTGTGCTTCTGGAGCTTCCTAGAGTCACAGTTCTTTTTGGGGTCACACACTTCTTGTGCAAATATTGATACCTTTTCATCTCTCATTACAATTTAAATATCTCATTTTTACAGAAGATCTTCTTTACAGATCAAAATGTTCTCATTTTACTAGATTTACTTCTTATTGGATGACAAGTAGAGAGGAGTAAAGGCAAACATTCGAAAGCTATGGATGCTGGGATGTTTGCTGTTGGCTCTCCCACTGGCTAACGTGACTTGTCCCCCAGAAAGTCTTTCAGCATGCACAATCTGAAATCACACCTCAGGAAAATGAGAAATTACTAGGTGTTTCTGGGAAGAGTCAAAAACTGCAAATATTGAATCCACAAATGTTAAGGGTCTATTTAAAAACCTGTGGATCTAATCCAGCATGGTTCTTTTTAAGGTAGTCTTGGGTATCCTGCCTGTTTATCTTCCAAGTACTGATCCTTTGGACAGTCTTATTCAGCTCTCTAAATCTTGGGGATTCTAGCCTTCTATTTACATAACCTCTACTTTTTTAATTCACAGGAATAGCAGGCTTTATGACTGTGGTATCCTATGGTCTTTACAAGTTAAAGTACAGAAGAGACCAGAAAATGTCCATTCATCTTATTCACATGAGAGTTGCTGCCCAAGGATGTGTTGTAGGAGCTGTGACCCTAGGTAACCTGCTTAATTTGGATCTTGTGCTCACTGTCTTTGCGAATATTTTTATTTATTTTATTCAATCATATTGGAAAATGAAAATTGGGTCAAGAGGATATAATGGAGAAGGAATGGTAAGAAAGACCGTGAACTTCACTTGGGTGAAGATGCTTCCCCATAAGAGGCTTTAATTTCTTGGTATTTTAAGCACTGAAAGAAAAACAACCAGTAGACAAAAGGTACAAACTTCCAGTTATAAAATAAGTAAGTCCTGGGGCGCCTGGGTGGCTCAGTCAGTTAAGCATCCAACTTCGGCTCAGGTCATGATCTCACGGCTCGTGGGTTTGAGCCCCATGTCAGGCTCTGTGCTGACAACTCAGAGCCTGGAGCGTGCTTCAAATTCTACGTCTCCCTCTTTCTCTGCCCCTCCCCCACTCACACTCTATCTCTGTCTCAAAAAATGAAAAAATGTTTAAAAAAATTTTAAATAAGTCCTGCGAATGTCATGTATCATGGACAGCATGGTGACTATAACTGGAAAGTTGCTGAGAGTAGATCTTCAAAGTTCTCATCATAAGAAAAAATATTTGTAACTATTCATGGTTACAGATGTTAACTAGGCTTACTGTGGTGATTATTACAACATATAGAAGGAGCAAATCATTGTACACCTGAAACTAATATCATGTTATAGGTCAATTATAGTGCAGTTTAAAAAACGGGGGCACCTGGGTGGCTCCGTCAGCTGAGAGTCTGACCCTTGATTTCTGCTCAGGTCATGATCTCCCATTTTGTGAGCTCAAGTCCCACATCGGGCTCTGTGCTGACAGCACGGGACCTGCTTGGTATTCTCCTTCTCCCTCTCTCCCTCTGCCCCTCAAAATAAACAAACATTTTAAAAAGGTAGAGAACTAGGTTTTGGGTTCTGTTATCTTATATTGGATAGGAGCAGTGAATAGTTTGTACCCTTTATAACCAACTAAAGCACTGGTTCTAGATTCCAGCCTTTACTGCTCACCTAAGAGCAGCAGTCATAGTTCCTGGCCTATTTGAACAGCAGATATAATTACTGATGTAGCTTAACCAGGAAGAATACATTTTTTAGAGCCCACAATCTCAACATCTGTTCTCCTTTTAGTCCCAGTCTGAGCAATAGGCAATCTATTGCTATAATTAGTCTATAAATTAGGTTATACTTAACACAGTCAAATCCAAAGAAAAGGCATAAAATTATCTGGTTAAGTCCAGTTATATCAACAGCTAAACCAGATAGTTCTAACAGGAAATCTACTTTGGGGACCTAAATTATCTTTTTTGGGGTCTACATTAATGAGAGCAAGTCACAATGTTCTTAGTTCTCTTTCACACTGTGCAGAGTAGAATCAGCCCAAGAGTTGGTCTAGGATTCTGGAATGAGCAGTGTGGGGCTTGTAATTATCTTATTACCATGAGCTGTGATATACAGGTGTTGAATAAAATACAAGAAACCTCACTACAAAGTTACAGTGCTCATTTTCATCATTTAGCATTTATTGAGCACTTGCTATGTGCTGGTCTAGAGATATCGAGATAAGATTCAGTTCCTACCCTTAAATAATTTAGTCTCCTGAGGCAGAGAGACCAAGAACAGGAGAAAACAATATAAAATCACGGATACTATGACAGAGAGAGCACAGGTTGTTGCTACAGAAACACAAGCATAAAGGAGGGGCATTTAATTGAGCCGAGAGTCCTGGACTCTCAGGAGTCTCTGAGAGTTCTCCTGGACGGAGAAGCTTCTCTAAGGATTAAACCATATGAGCCAAGACTGTGGAGGAATTAGCTAGGCAGAGAAGGAGATAAAGATTCTAGACAGAGTTAAAAACAAAGCCACAGAAGCAAGGCACATTAGTGGAACTCTATAAAGCTCGGTATAGTAAGTGAATCAATCAGCGTTTGATAAGAGGAACAGAACTCCTAACAGTAATATATAATAGGAGATCTATTAGAGGCGCCCAGAATTAAGCTACTGTGAGGCTCTCGCTTACGTATCTGCAGCAGGTGCCTGAAGTGGGCAGGGCAAGCACTCAGAATGAAAAAGTAGGGGCGCCCGGGTAGCTCAGTCAGCTAAGTGTCTGACTTTGGCTCAAGTCATGATCTTGCAGTTCATGAGTTCGAGCCCCATGTTGGGCTCTGGGCTGACAGCTCAGAGCCTGGGGCCTGCTTCGGATTCTGTGTCTCCCTCTCTCTCTGCCCTTCCCCTGCTCACGCTCTGTCTCTCAAAAATAAATAAACATTAAAAAAAAATGAAAAAGTTGATGTAAGGGCACCTGGGGGGCTCAGCCGGTTGAGAATCCGACTTTCGCTCAGGTCATGATCTCGCTGTTCGTGAGTTTGAGCCCCACACTGGGCTCACTGCTATCAACCTGTCACCACAGAACAGGCTTCCGATCCTCTGTCCCCCTGTTTCTCTCCATCCTGTTTACACTCTCCCAAAAAATAAATATTTTTTAAAAACTAAAAAAATGTAGATGTAAAATGAAAGAAACAAGAAAAACCTGGAACCTACAAGGATGAGCTGAGGATGAGGATAGACTGGAACCCTTGTGGGTTTCTCACCATCTCTAAGCCCCTACATTCGATGAGAGGAGTCACAGAGGGGAAAATGATGCCTTTTATCTTGGAGATAAACATGAACCTGGCAAAGGTGAAGGAGGAAATTCAGCAGGAGCCACAGCCATTGCTGCCTCATGCCAACAAAGTGGACCAGCAGATAAGCAAAAATGTGCTGCCTTCCAAGAATAAAAAAGCATTTAGCTGCTGCTTCACTTCTGCCTTCTAAATCTTAATGCAAAATGTCTCTTCTGCAGCAACTCAGGGAATAAATGGAAAGGAATTCTGGAAAATGTAGGTATAGTTTAGCTTAAGTTGACACAATGCCAACTCACCACTGTCCACGCCTTGTCAACCTGGCATCCATGTACACCTCTTTTAATACACTTAACTTTCAAATAAAGACAATGGCAAAATTATACATCCATCATATAACCAAAAACATGCTAATTCTGTCCCAAAAGAGGATATAAAAATCCCTTTATCCATCTTTGGGTGGTGTTGATTTGTCTTTGAGTAGAGTCACATTCCCCTTTGAGATCCTGTAACCTAAATCCTGAAACATAAGATTAACTATTATTAACACATCTTACATTAGAAGCAGATAAATGGAAGTAGCAAATAGAAAAAAAAAGGATTAATGTATACACAAATATATTCATATCAAAATAAGGGAGAAACATTCCTAACTGTCAGACTTTGTTTCTCCAACTGGTTGGATGTTCATGGCTGGTAGTATAACTAAGTCCTTCCACTAGCCATTTCATACTCCCTTTGCCTTCAGCAAGCACCTTGGCTATTCACAGTTATGTGACTGGAATGGTGATCCACACCTTCATTCCTAAATGGTCTGGGTCATTAGCCAGCCTGCTTGTGTTGGGTATAGTTTTCCATTGTCTTTAATCACAGGACATGGGGGTACTAAAAAATGCCCAGGAGATATCATGCATTCCCCCGCACACCTGCTTACCCTACCATTATACAGTAGTAACCTAATCTCCCCTTGATAGATCACATCAATTGAATGGATTAATGTGATGTCCTATGGAATGAAGCGATGTTCAAGGTCCTTGCAGGCCAGATTATGACATAGTCTGGAGAATTCAGGGAGCCCTGAGACTGAATAGTGAAAGTATACTCTTGGCCCAACCGAGTGAAAGCAAACTGCTTTTGATAGTTTTTATTAAAAGGTACACAAAATAAAGCAACTGACCAGATTAAGAGCTGCAAATCAAATAGCAGAGATGCTTGTATCGATATGCTCTGGCAATGAAACCACACACCTGGACAGCAGCTGCAACTAGTGGGCCATCTGATTAAGTTTATAGAAATCCATTATCATTCTCCAAGGTCCATCTGTCTTCTAGCCAAAAAGGCAAACTGAACTGGTATGTATCCCCACCCTCACATCTTTAAAGTCCTTGATGATGGCATTGAACTCTATAATCCCACCTAGGAATACAGTATTGCTTTGGTTTACTCTTTTGGTAGAATGGCTTACAGTAGGCTTTCCCCACCATAATAGCCCTTACACCACAGGTCAGGGAACTGATGTGAGGATTCTGACAGTTGCTGAGCATGTCCATTCCAATTCCACATTCCAGAACTAGGGAAATAACATATGGCAGATTCAGGTACTCACCAGGCCAACTGCAAAATGGACCCATAGCAAAACTCCGCTGACCACCTGACCTCCATAAACTCCTAGCTTGACTGGTAGACCACCCTAATTCTCCAGGCATTAGTATCAATTCAGAATCAATATTTAGTAATCTCCCACAAATGTGATTATTTGCCATTCCTTATACATAGGCACCTTGGTGAATGACCACAGATCCCGTTGGGAAAGGCTACATGGGGAATTTATAGTATTTACTTTTTAGCTGTGTAACAGTGCCTTTTCTTAAGGAGATCTGACTTCTCTGTTATTCAAGGGACTCTGGGTCTGTGAAGTGACTCAAATCTGGGAATTGGCTGGGGGTGGGGGGGCATGGCTGTCTACTGTGATGATTCAAGTTAAACTTTTATTCACCAAACCTAGAGCTTTTCTGCTTAAATGCTATCCACCACTTTCAACTCTAGGGACACCATAATCAACCAGACAATGCCAAAGGTCTTTGTGGCTTAGACTATTCTGATTACTGCTTAGTCTTCGCTGCCTATTACAGTCATCATGCTTTCCTTGTCTCTGTCAATTAAATGGTGCCACTGGACCCCCCTGCTTCTCAGGGTCCCACCATCCCCACTGAATTTGGGAAGCCTAGCAGTTCCCACTGTCATTTCTGGCTTACAGAAGATAGCTGCCACAGGACTCCCCGTGGATGCCAGGACTCCCTTCACAGATGTATTTCTCACAGCCTTGGTGAAGGGAGTGGATAAATTTAGGGGGTGAGTGAGCAGGATAAATCTATGTTAACATTCCAATCTCCCTAAGCCTTTGGATACCTTCCCGAATGTCAGGGTTTCTTATTCTCGGCACGACTGACATTTTGGACTGACTGCTCTTTGTTGTGGAGGGCAGTCTTGTGCATTACAGGATGTTTAGCGGCATCCGTGGCCCCTACCCTGTAGATGCAAATAGCACCTACCCACCCCTAGAGCGACAACCAAAAATAGCCCCAGAAATGGCCAGATTTCCCTGGGGAATAAAACTGCCCCAGTAAAGAAGATTGACTGTCAGTACACAATCACTGCTGTACCTTGGAAGTATACCAAGAAAGCTCTGGCATTGCAACTTCATTTAGTGGGGATTACCTTTCAGTCCAAGTTTCAGTCATTCTCAGAAAGGAGTAGACTAGGGTCTCAGGGATTTAAGGACTCTGTTTCACTGAAATCTGCCCGTGTGTCCCTATCCTAATTTTCAGGGTCCTACTCTTTCCAAAGCAATGCCCTAACTTTGACAAAGAGGCTTTGTGAGGGTGGGAATTTTATTATTGTAGTGATTAGCCACTCACAGGATTAGTTCCTGTGTATGTTTTTAAAAAATATCAGCCTCGCAGCTACAGGAGCTGAGTTTCTTTCTGGGAAGTCATAAAGCTTTCAGGTCCCTCATAGGACTTTAACCAAGGAGTTAAAGGCCCATCATTTTGTTTTCCCAAGTTCTCCAGCACACTTAGAAGAAACCAACCTAATTATACTTCTCTTTTCCACTAAATGTTCTATGACAGTAAGTACTGATCACCCAAAGCCTTGTTTTCTCTAGGCACCTGATTATGAGTATCCATAGGCAACAATCTTTACAAAAATGTTTTGCTAGCATGCCCAGGGCTGCTAGCATTGTCTTTACTACTGGAAAAAAAAAAATGGCCATTAATATCTTTAAATCACATCACACCAGAGAACCAATTCGAGATGACCCAGAACCAATTCAGAGAACCTACACTCATGGTTATGTTCCTCTGGAAGCTTCTGCTACCAAAATGTCTATCAGTCAGGGTTCAACCAGAGAAGTAAGACTACTAGTAGTGATATAATAAACAGGGAGTTATTATAGAAACATGACCTTAACTTTGGGAGCTGGTTAAACAGTCCATGTTAGGCTGTTGCTTATGTTTCTAATACTGGAGCCTAAATTTATCAAGGCAGCAGTTGGGAAGCAAAAATAAGCCGGAATCTGCAAGGAAGAGCTGGAACCCACAAAGAATTAGAAACCGGAGTCAGTCTCTTACTGACTCCAACTTCCATCATGGCGTGACCTGTAGGAGGAGCTGGCGCCCTCAATCATGGAGCTAATCCACTGGCCTCGGAGCCACAGAAGCTAGAGGAAGGGATCCAGAAGGAGCTGAAGGAGCTGTTGGTCTGACTGCTGCCCCAGACGGCAAGGTGAGCCAGCAGACAAGCAACATGCACAAGCTGTAACAGCGCCTGGTGACCCCACATGAGCATTCCAAGCGTGAAAAGAATAGAGGAGCTACCGCTTCAACTTTCACCTTCAAATTTCAAGCATAATGTCTCTTATGAGCCAAGCTAACTCAGAAAAAATGCAGGGATGGGAATTCTGGAAAAAATAGATTACAGCTTAGTTAAACTGATAGAAAACAAATCCCCAACAGATTTATATGGTTGCGAGCTGAGAAGTTAGCAAGAAGAAGTCAGCCAGTGAAAGACTTAAACAAGGGAGTGACATAGTCAGAATGGCAGCTAAGATGCCTGCCTTACAGAAGCTCAAAAACAGGCAACATGAAACTGTTTAAACAGATGGTCACACTATAAAGACAAGGAAAAAACCTATTATAAAAGTCAGGACGGTGGTGATCTATGGAAAAGAGAGCCAGATAGAATCAGGGTTCTAGGATGCTTGCTGTATTGTCTTGACCCCCAACTATAGGTATTTCAGTCTACAACTGTTTGTTAATCTAGCTGTTTAAACTGTGTCTACTGTTTTCCATGCATGTTATATTCACCATGAAAAAAAATGTTAAAAGGGAAAAGAACATGATGAGAGATGATTGGTAAAGGAGGGGAAAAAATAAAGACAGAGAGGCCGACGAGATGATGAACTGGGTCTGAATTAAAGCAGTAACGGCGAAAACAGGAGGAGATGGATTCTAGGAACATTGAGGACTCAGCAACTAAGCGAGTGAGAAAAGTAAGGGAGGCAGAGTGCAGGATGATTCCTAGGTTTCTGGTTTAGGCAATCAGATACAAGATGTACCTTTCACTAAGGTCAGGAATGAAGCAGAACAGGGTTGGTAGGAGAGCAAGCACATACTGGACAAAACAATAATAGCTAATAGTTAATGAATGTTTATGATGTGCAACCCACTCTAACTGCTTTACATATCACTACCTCATTTAACTTTTTTGTAAGTAAACTTTATTATTTTTTATTTTCATTCCAGTATAGCTAGCATACAGTGTTATGTTAGTTTCAGATGTACACTATAGTGATTTAATCCTAATAAATACCTCTTTACACCACCTGGTGTACTGTAATACAATTCAATACCGATACCAACAACTGCAGCTCACCTTAGATGCTGCAGGTTTAAGGACATGGTCCCTGAAGGGACGGCTGTTACTTCAGACTCCAGCCATTGGGGGTTCCTAGGTCACCTGCACTTCTGACCAACTAGCTACAAATCAGGGGTTCCCAAGACTCCTTCAGGTTTGATATTTCACTAGGACAACTTGCAAACTCAGGAAATCTCTACACTTACAATTACAGTTTTATTATAAATTATACAGATCAGAACCAGCTGGATTGAGACACACAGGGTAAGGTCTGGGAGGGCCCCAAACTCAAAGCTTCTGTATCCCTCTTCCTGTGGAATCAGGGCATGCCACCCTTCCAGCACATCCATGTGGTTACCAGCCCAGAAACTCTACTGAGCTTCAGCATCCAGAGCTTTTACTGTGGCTTCGCTAGGTAGGCATGGTTGATTGAATCACTGGCCCTATCACAGAATACAATCTCCAGTCCTATTCCCCCCTGGAGGTCTAAGAACCCTCTAGTCATACGGCTATTCTTTCTGGCATGACTAGCCATATGCTGAAGTTATCTAGGAGGCCACCATGGATCACAGCATTAACATAAACTCAGGTATGATCCAAGAGGCTCATGCATAACAAAGATATTCCTATACTGGGAAATCCCAAGCATTTTAGAAGCTCCATGCCAGGAACTCTGGACAAAGACCAAAGTCTTTATTTAATAATAACCTATGAGGTAGGTACATTATAATCCCATTTACAGATAAGGAAATTGAGGATTAGAGAGGAAAGCTTTCTTGCTCACAATCACATGGGCTCTCAACTACAGAGCCTGAACTCTTAATTCTATATTATACTGAGGTACCTATGGCAGATGTCTCTAAATTAGAGTACTCATTCCCTGGCAGATGTAGAAGGAGAACCATGGGTATGTGGGAAGAATATATTTTTTATCTTAAAAGCCGAAAAGCTTTACTGGTATATACACTGACCAACAGCACATTTATATAAGTTTATAAATAAATGAACATTTTGAGGGGCATGCTCAAATTATTGATTTATGCACAATTTAAAAGTTTGGCAGCCACCTACCCATGTATGTGGAAATGCCATACATAGTATAACGAATATGAGTTTTACATTTAAAAGAGAGATCTTATAACTTGCTTACCAGTGAAGCAACAGGTGTGAGTGAGGTGAGAAAAGAGTTGAGATCGGAACTCCAGGGAACACCAGCATTTGAGAGGTAGGCATGAGGTAAGAATTATCTGTGCCTAATAAGCACAGGAAAAGGAGTTCTATAATTCTCTCTGCATTGGAGAATGTTATTTCCATAGATATGACAATGTTCAAGTAAGCATATTTGTGCCTTGGACTTTATGGATCTATGATAGTTATACTATTTCGTTAGAAAATTATGCAGAACAGCTGCCTCATGTGGCTACTAGGTTCAGAAGAGAACAACTAACTTACCTCCCCTTTATTCTCTGTGCACTCTGAAGATATTAACAAGAGGTATCAGAAAGAAAGCAGAAGAAAATGGAGGATTTAGATTAGATGATCTTCTAGACAGCTGGAGCCTTGACAACTGGTTACAGGTGGGAATGGGAGGTGAGCAGACTCCTTACTTGCTTGGTATGAACATTTGCTGACATCCCCACAACTGAGCAAAACCACTCTATTCCACGTGCTATTTCCCCTGACTCTCTTACCCCTTTCTGCATGGCCTTAGGACCTCATCCTGGTGAAAGACCTACATCCACCTCATCTGCCTAAACTCATAGCTAATTCATCCACTAGACTGTAAACCCCTAGAAGCACCTTTGTCTCTCTTGAGAAACTGAGCACAAGCAGACACTGAATAGGGGTTTGCTAAGTTGAGGTGTCTATTATTTCGATCATATTATCTAGCCAAATCTCCCCAGTCTCTCTTTTTCACCAATATTTTAAAACTCAAATTTTAGGATGGCATGGTAACCTTATAAATTCAGATTTAGATTTGTACTGATCTTAGTGGGCTCTAACTTTTTTGAGCTTTTCTGGAGCCACTTATATAATCTAAGCCGAAAGTAAGATGGAAGGCACTTGTTTTTTGTTTTTGTTTTTTTAAAATAAGGGATAACAGGGCCCCTGGCTGGCTTAGTTGGTAGAGTATGTGACTCTTGATCTTGGGGATGTGAGTTCAAGCCCCATAATGGGTGTAGAGTTCAGTTAAAAAAAAAAAAGCACCCAAACTGAGGGACAGTTTTAGAAAAATACAAGCAGAATACAAGAAATTCAGTGTCTATTTCCCATAAGTACTATATTGATGTATATCTTTTTGTTTCTAGGTGTTCTCTATTCTATGTATAAGGATTACATTAGACCTCGATTCTTCAATGTGTCCAAAAAATGAAGCTACATACAAGACAAGAAGGCTTCTGAAAACTATTTATTCTGAAGAATGAATTTTCAATATGTAGTAAATTATACTGCAGAAGTATGAGACAGGATTCTCATAGCCTTGTATAGCAAGTCTCAATTGTTTATGTTGATTTCCAAATCAAGAGTCATTGTCAACTCAAAAATATCCCTGTTGTCTTTCAGAACTGAGGACATGATTTTCTGACTTTTAGAATTTTTATTTTCTAGTTAGTGGCAGAAAATATATTATGCCAAATGAATCTGAAAATTATAATGGCTACAGAAAAATTATCTATATCTGTATTAAATGTGAGGGTCTAGCCTGGGTGGCTGAGTGGTTTAAGTGTCCGACTTAAGCCTAGGTCATGATCTCATGGGTTTGTGGGCTGTACTGACAGTTCAGGGCCTGGAGCCTGTTTCAGATTCTGTGTGTCTCTCTCTCTCTGTCCCTCCTCCTCCTCTCTTTCTATCTCTCAAAATAAATAAATAAACCTTAAAAAAAAAATGTGATGCTCTATTCATTGCTTAATTCTCTCCAAATAGGGCAAGGTAATTAAAGCTTTCATAAGTTCCTTTTGAGAATGAGAAACAATTACATCGGAGGAGAATGGTCATGCTGTTATTTAAATTTGGTTAACCACTGTGTGCTTCACTCTTATCTAAAAACTTGACTATTTTACCACAAACATAAATGTTTAACATTTAAATATCTGTATTCATTTTTATACTTGAAAGCATTTCTAGGAATACAAAGATAAATTGCTAAAAAAAAAAAAAAATTCCTTTACCCCAGATGACAACTGTAAGGGTGAAAGGAGTTAGTCCAGCGCTATTGCTAATCTGGTACGGCACCAGAAAACACAGAAATCAAAACAGACATTAAATGTTAACTATACCTGTGAGCTTGAAGTCCTCTATAACTGCCCTAAGGTTCTAAAAAATTAACTAGTCTGCTGAAGTCCTTACTGTTGTGACTCAGATCTACCTTGTAAGACTCCAAGACTGGGTTAGGGGATGGGGACTGGGAGGGGGCGGGAAGCAAATGCAGACACAAACAAATGAAAAAAGCATTCACTGAAATAAAATCAAGAATGCATTATAAAATTTCTGTGGTGGTTATTTCCTTTTCCTTGATGTCTCCTATCATGGAGGGTTAATCTGACAGGAAGGTGAAGTCTAGTATTTGGGAAAGGAAAAGATGTAGGAATATCTGAAAATAAGTCTGCATTCTAGGTATTAACCCACTCTTCTGTGTATTATATACACTTTTCTCCACTGGCACTGGTAATTATTTTTAAAATTGTCATTTTTACCTATCATGAGCCGCTTCTAGTTCTTCTAGTTCCACCAACAAGTGTGCATATTTTGGTCAACACCGTCCTCTTGGGAAAATAGGTAAGGAAAGAATCTAATGACTTTATTCCACTAAATAGTCCAGCAGCTGGATCTAATCTGTTGCATGGAGGTCAGGGAAATTGAGAACAGCTGGCATAGAAATGTCACCCTTTGTGTTTATTACACAATGAAGACATATTTCTATTCAGGCTACTGGAAATATTCCACTCTCAATATATACTCTGCATTAAAAGTAGACTTGTTTAATTAGAAATGGGCTTTTTTCATAAAACCCAATAGGTTCTAGATTTTTGTAATTTTACTCTGAGAGAGCTGAATATATTTATTGCTTGAAAAAGAAATGCAAAATATTTATTCACTAAGAGTAGCTATGCATGAGAACTCACAAACTGTGTTTAAATTAAAATGTAAAATCATCTATGTAGAAAACTTAAGAAACAGGATACTCATTTATCCACGTTAGCTTGGGTTAAGAAGAGGGATCGTTGCAGGAAGACCCTATATACCTGAATGTACACAACACTTCTGGGGCAAAACCTTGGAGGCTTAATATAATAATGTTTAAAGCTGAAAAGGCTCTTTTTATTAACTACTGAAACCCCTGATGCCTCACTTGCTAAATTATTTCATTTGCCTCAATACACTCTGATTGCCTTTTATTTATTTATTTTTTATTTTATTTTATTTTATTTTATTTATTTTTACAAATAGTTTATTGTCAAATTAGTTTCCACTGCCTTTTATTTTTTAATTAAAAAAATTTTTCACACTTATTTTTGAGAGACAGAGCAAGAGCAGGGGAGGGGCAGAGAGACAGACACAGAATCTGAAACAGGCTCCAGACCCTGAGCTGTCAGCACAGAGCCCAACGCGGGGCTCAAACCTGCAAACTGTAAGATTATGACCTGAGCCAAAAGTCAGACACTTAACTGACTCAGCACCCAGGCACCCCTCTGACTGCCTTTTCTATTAGGTGGACATGTGGTTATGTAGCAGCAGCTGCCTAGTAACTATTATTTAATTGTATTTTTTTGACATTCTGGATATACGTTGTCAGAGCATCCTCTTATAAACTGACTCCATAATGTTAAACATGAGGAATTGGGTGAGTGTATGCTTCTAGGTTAATCTTATGACTGAATATGTTAATAGCTATATAAACATATAAAACCCAGACTGTAAGTCATAAATTAGAGAATGATTAAATGTTCTAACCTAGAAAAGAAGTTTACCCAAGACTCATTCTTTAGAAATCCATCTCCTCTACTGATTTTAGAGTGACCTGGTTTATCAAATTTTCTGATTACAGGAGTTGTATGACCTGATGGATACATCTATAAACTTTTTTAAAAATTTATTTTTATTTTAAGTAGGCTCCACACCAACCTGTGGCTCGAACTTACAACCCCGAGATCAAGAGTTGCATGCTCTGATCTACCGAGTCAGGCATCCCAAACTTAAAAACTTTTGTAAACTCTAGTCTGTTTCTTACTCCCCCAAGTACTTAGTCTCTGTTTAACCAAGCACTTCATCTTTTTATGAGTGGCAAAACAGGATTTTTTAACCTTTTTCTTCTTTCTCCTAACACTCTGGTAATGAAACTGAGAAATTGAATTTCCAAGGGAGGGAGGAAAATCCAAATCGATTCATCTAGAGTTACTATCTGTGTATAAAGAATCTAAAATACTGAGAGGCACCTGACTGGCTCAGTTGAACAGCATGTGACATTTGATCTTGGGGTCATGAGTTTGAGTCCATGTTGGGTGTTGAGATTAAATAAAATGTTAAAAAAAAAAACAAAAAACTAAAGTACTGAAACTCATTTAAAAAATCTCTTTTCCAGGGCACCTGGTGGCTCAGTCAGTTTAAGGGTCTACTCTTGGTTTTAGCTCAGGTCATGATCTCAGGGTCATGAGATCAAGCCTTACAGCAGGGTCTGCAATGGGTGTGGAGCCTGCTTAAGATTCTCTCTGTCTCCTTCTATCTCTCTCTCCCTCTGCCCCTCCCCTGTGTGTGCATGTGTACTCACGCTCTCTCTCAAAAAGAAATTTCTTTTTCGAGTGAAAGCTGATAACTGATGTTAACTCAGTTTCATTTTTAAGATCAGAAGGACTCTAACCTACAAACGTAAGGATGCTACTCTTACCAGAAGTTTCAAGGGCCTCTGAAATAGAAATGAGAGAATTTTTAAAAAGTATTACCTAAGAAAACTCCCTGCCACTTAGAGGACCAAGTCTTTCTTTATAAACGAAGATAAGCAATATCTGGAACTTTAAAAAGTCTTACTGAAAAATACTAAATTTTAAAATAAGAGAGGTCAGAGATTTTACTTTTAAGCTGAAAGAAGAAAATGATGCTCAGAGTCAAACAAAAGCTGCAGGGTTTGCAAACTCAATGCCTCTGGGGCTAGAAGGAAATGAACCAAAGAGTCTGTGCCACCCTGAAATACACAGTCCATTAAAAATGGACAGCCGCCATTCAGTTCCAGCCAATTGCAATTCCGTGCAGGAATGTGGGCCCCGTGAGGAAAATCTTCTTTTCCATTGGATAATTATGCAAAAAATTCCCAATTTTTAAATATTAACTTTTTTATTTAAAAAATCTTAAGGAAAAAAGTCCTGGTTAAGAACAGGAGTCAAAAAAACAAAAAAAGGCAGGCAGTTTATGACACGAGAACTAGCCATCCAAGTCCTGGTCTAGTTCTGCTCTCATATTAGTGGGTATAAACATCTTAAAATAAAATGCTTAGCATTCAAGGAAATTCAACATTAGACATATTGACCATTCCTGAAAACCTGGAAATAGACCTTGGACCTAGAAATGGTGTTTGTGGAAGTTTAATGGGAGAAATGGGAAGAAAAGACATGGTAGGGCTCTACAAACATTAGAAAGAAAACAACCTCAATCATCTTCTGTTGGGACTTACAAAGTTAAATGTTAGAAGTTTCTTCTTTAAAAAAAAAAAAAGAAGAAGAAAGTTTCTTTTTTTACACCTAAAGCTTAAATGCTAGAATAGGCTGAGTTATAATGTTTCATGGAAAACCAATCGTTGGTGAGAGTATGGTTTCTGAATCTTATGATAAGGTATTAAGCTCTTTGGGAAATACCACCACACATCTGAAAAGATTTTAAGAAAAGCAACAGAGAATAATAATTATAAAGCACACAATAACCAGGATAAATCTGCTGAAAAGAATCGTTTTCCTTAGAAATGACGGGCTGGTCGCAAGTAGTTGCTAAGGACCTGGTTAAAACTGAAATCGAATTTAACTAGCCATAGTCAAGTGTCACTTTAAAAGGTTAAGTCAATTTGACTAGATCATTCTGAAAAAGAGCATTCCTCTCTTTCCTTTCTCACTTATGACCCAGAGCAAAAAAATATCCAATTTACCTGTAGCTTTTAAAAAAATAAGACCTATCAATTTCATATAACCTTAAAACTCTACCCAAACTGACGTGTTCAGGTTTACATAAATACATACACATATATATTTTTAAAATTCCAGAAGTCAAGACACAAGCCCATAGGGGTGTGTGGCCGCCATGGGCCAATCATTTAACTCTGGAGATCGTAGGACTATTGTGAGGTGGGTGGGTCTCTGTCCTACACTTAGAGCTGTCAGCTTTTAACACCCTTCCCATGAGGAAATCTTTGACTTTTGTTCAAAACATCTGAACAAAACTCACCTCTGAACTAACAGAGATATGTTAACAGGACACCTGGCACAAAAGGGCTAAGACAAAGTGGTTCTGAAACAGTCTCTCAGGCTGTCAGTCATCTAGACACAAGTGAGTCAGCATCCACGGTGTTCAGAAGGTAGAGTTCAGGCTGAGCTGTCAATCCCAGATGGTACTAAGGACAAAAAAATGGAAAATGGTTAGACTGATTGGCAAGTATTTATTTTTTTAATGTTTATTTCTGAGAGAGAAAGAGAGAGAGAGAGCAAATGTGAGTGGCGGAGGGAGAGAGAGAGAGGGGGACAGAGGATCCGAAGCGGGCTCCATGCTGACAGCGGAGAGCTGGATGCAGGCCTCAAACTCACAAGCCAACCGATCATGACCTGAGTGGAAGTCGGACACTTAACCAACTGAGCCACCCAGGCGCCTCCTGATTTGTGAGTATTTAAATACTGAAACCAGCACATGGGTACCTATAATCAGATGCACATCAATATAGGCTTTTTTTTTTTTTTTCCAGAAAAGAAATGGCTTACAGAAATGGTTTACATAAAATATTAGCTAGGAGCAGAAATAGTTAAGAACTGAGATAATGCCAAATGCTCTCAGCAAAATGTGCACTTTGACTATTCTTGTGACACACTTGCTTCAGGATGGGTGCTTGTGATAAGAAGAGCAAACAAACACACGGAGCACTTTTGCATTCTAGTACTATGTTTTAGAAATCAAATAAACTCTAAAATAATTAAAATAAATATTAGAATCAAATACTAATTCTAAATCCTGAGCTCAGTCTAAATCCTAAGCCCGAGATCCAGGCCCCACGATCTTCTGGCACGTGAGCAAATTCTTTAACTACAAAAAGAGAAAAAAAAAAAAAAGAAAAGAGCATGTGCTAAGAGCAACAGGGAGATGACCTGAGTCCCAAATGTTTTTTCAGGCTGAATCGAGTCACTGGACTGCCTTTCAAAACACACTGCCATCAGTGCCTGGGTGGCTCAGTCGGTTGAGCATCAGACTCTAAATTTCGGCTCAGGTCATGATCCCAGCATTGTGGGATCAAGACCCGTCTTGGGCTCCATGCTGAGTATGGAACCTACTGGAGATTCTCTCTCTCTATTCCTCTGCCCCTCTCCCCTGCTCCCTCTAAAATAAATAAAATAAAAAAAAACAAAAAAGATTGCCAAACCACCTTCCTGGAAACCTGAATCCCTATGGTTTGTGTTGAGATCTGTGAAGTACTTTACTCTTTTTCTCTCCTCTGCATATACTGTGAGATAATCACTGAATCTCGTTTCAGACCTATTGTTATTACTTAGAGCTTTAGGAATGTTATCACCCCTTGGCATCAACAACCTGTGAGTTAAGGCGAATGTGGACTATAAATCCACAGGAAGAAAATATTCCTATTATAGTACAGTGGAAAAGCACCAGAGTTGGGTTCAAGCTCTAATTCTGCCACTTCCTATGACCTTGAGCAAGTTCATGTATCCTTCTGGAGCCTTATCCTTATTTGTAAAATGGGAATAAATGCTACATTTGAAAATGCCAAGTACACGAATATGCTGTTAGTCTTCAACAAATCTAATTTCTTAATATTTACTTTTTAATGATTATTTATTTATTTTGAGAGACAGAGAGGCAGAGAGAGAGAGAATCCCAAGCAGGTTCTGCACTCTCAGTATAGAACTTGTTGCAGGGCTCGAACCCACAAACCATGAGATCATGAGCTGAGATCGAGTAGGACGCTTAACTGACTTGAGCCACCTGGCACCTCAACAAACAGAATTTTTTTTTAACACGTTACAAATTGCCCTGTATACCTCACAAGCTTATGACGACCGCGCGAAGAGGACACCAAATAAAGCCCAAAATAAACTGTTCTAGGCGCAGTGGGCTAGGAAGTTACTAACACTGACCTTAGAGTAGAGAAACAGCCCTTCAGATAAGCCTCTTTATTTACTTCAGGGTCTTATATTTCAGGGTTTAGTAACCAAGAGTAACTGTCAGATACACTGTAAATTCATTGCTGCCTTTCACTAGAGAACGGAGTTGGTGGGCTTCCTCATTAAATAAGCAAGGGTTGCATTATGAGTCCTACGATCCCCAGACTCACTTAGATGACTTGTAGACAGAGTTCCTTCACTGGAGAAGTTTGTCAAATTGCTTGGAGACAGTAAGAAGTGGGGCTGAATAGCACAGGAATAAGCCAACTACTGTCACAGGGGCAGAGGGATAATGCAAATGAGTAAGCTTCATAGTAGTTCTTAGCTACTACTTGGGTAGGACCACAGAGGGCCCTGTCCACCTTCTGTGTCTACCAAAAAGCATTCAGAGTTGTTTCAAATTTAGCACAGGCCAAACAAAATTAGTCTGTCAGTTGGCAACCTCTGAGCTAAAATATAGTCTATCACTAATCAGAGTATCAAGGGAAATGCTTTGATGTGTTCCTGGTACTGCCACACACCAAAGCTTGGTGTCTTAACCTTGCACGAAGAGTATACTATGTATCACATAGCATGGGTTGGTAATGACAACCGGGACTCAGGAGTTAGGCTATTCAAGTTGAAATGCCAGTTGCTCATTTACCAGTGATGTGAGATTTGAGGAAGTTTACTTTTTGGCCTTTCAGTTGCCTCAACAATATAAAGGCTGATCCTCTTGTTAGAACAGTTAAAGGAGGTCGTATGAGTGCTCAGACCGGGATGAGCACACAGTAGTCAGCATTAGCCATTTTTAATATTCATAAGCTAAGGTGCCAAGGGAAGCCGACACATTTAGATTCATTGGTCCTATCTAATAAAGGGGTAGAGAGCATTCCAGAGGGCAGAGTTAAAAGAAATGTCTCAAATCAGGATCTTCAAATTGTTGCGTCCTGTTTTAGTTTGGAAATTAAACCCAAGATAAGAAGGGAGAGATCAATGAGGATAGACAACACGGAGAGCAGAATTCCCAGATTATTCCTATGGTGTCATAGTATTCAGCTCCTATAAGAAAGACAGGAAAAGCTTACGACAGAGAAAGGGAAAATGAAGTTCAAGTGACAATCTTGGGATAAATGAAGTGCTTAGATTTTCCTCTCATTTGTATGGTGACAGGGCTAGTAGTTTATTAGGCCTGAGCTTTGTCTTTGTTTTTATTAAATGGTGCCAATATTTCCGTTTATATCCATTCTGCCAAAATACTTTCAGTTTTCAAGCTAAACAATTTTGGTTTCTCTTCTCAAACACTTATACTTTTTATTGGCAGCATAAATGGAATATAAAAGCCTATTTCAACGGTGAGACAAGACTACAGACAGAAAAATGTTCAGCTTAGAGCAAAGAAAGGCAGAATAACAATTTTTTTTCGAGTTTAAATAAGGCAATGATGTGACCTTTGGCAACAGCAAAACACACAGTATGTGACTAAGAGGGTAGACTGATACTAATGTTTGGTGTTCGCAGTCCATTAAGTCTTCTGGGGACTAAACCTATTTATATACCTCCATCTCTTCAAAAAGAGAAAATCACTGACAATGTGGGCTTAATATGTCAATCCAGGTGATGGCTGATGTTTCAGTATTTCAGAAGTTAGGTATTTTCAAGGTGAAAAAAAAATACCCAGGAAACCAAACAGGAAAAAGAAAAAAATTTTAATTACAAACCAAGTTTACATACTGTTAAATGGTCACTAACAACTCAGTTGTAACCACTTGTAATATGACTAGCAGGACCTCACAGGAGCCAAACTACAGCTCTGCCCCATCCCTATGAATTCCCAAGAGGCTGAAGCAGCACAATTATTTCATGTCACATTTCTGAAGAACAAGGACGGATTTACAAAGGTACAATTGTATACCCTTAACATTACACACACACACTGCGCATGGTGGCACTGGAAGACTTCAGAAGCATTGTTTATTGCACCCAGAGTACTGGCTGAAGTACACTTTCTTTCTAAGGGGATCACATGGAATAAGGTTTGGGAGTGTTTTTAACACTTATGTAAAACTCTCCACACACAGCATTCTAAAAATGCCACCTAATGGGGAAGAAAATTTCCATCATCATCATTTCTTTAAAAAGAAAACAAGCAGCTTTACTTGAACTTCTAAATACGTATTGTGAGTCTGAGACTGACTGGACCCACACAGACTCAGGGAAAAGGACAGTGTTACTGTACTGTCTTTACAAAGAATTTTTCTTGTCAAGTTCACCTTCACCTAGTACGGCAGATGGGAGATCAATATGTCAGTCTCCAGCATCTTTACAGAGCGCCCTTAGACCAGCTTGGGGGCAAGACGACAGGGAGAGGGGAAAGACATGAGGAGGAACACTCAGGGAAATGTGTCCTTCATGATCCTGTGAGAGATTACTTGAGGGACTAAGAAAAGGTCTGGTCAGTGAAATAGTGGTTTATCCTTAATGCCTTATAAAAGACAATCCATCCAGTCTGTGCTTCTGACTGTGTGCAAAATGATCAGCAATAATGCTTTTAGGGGCTCAGATGAATACAAAATATCAACCAGCCAGGACTCCAGAAGGAAAGCTCCATAAATGAGAAGTCCTTCAATGCCATTCCCGTTACTGTTCTCACCAAGTCAGTGGCTATAAAGACTTGATTATGTATCTCCACCAGACAAATGTGATTTGATTTGATATAATCGCACAATCTCAGGCTCCACATGTAAAAGTATCAGAAGTGGCTGAAGAGCAGCAGCTTCACGCAGAAGGGACCCATTTCCTCTGACTTCAGAGCTCCACCATCTGGTCTCAAAAGTTTTTCCCTCTGAGGGAATGGCTGGAGAGAGGTAGCCCAGTGCAACCTTGCTGCAAGAGAACTTTGCAACCACAGTGATTGTGGGAGGGAGAGCTTTGCAACAGTTAGGTCCACAGCTCCTGAGATTGCCTTGCAAGCAGTCTTGGGCATGCTTCGGAAAAACGTGACAGTTCTGGTAGGAGATGGCTTTTAGGAATACAACAGATGGCTCTTCTTTTCCTTCAAGTCTTTTCTCCTCATTCCAAAATCTCATGAGAATGTCAGTTCATAAATGCTACCATTGTTTTCTATAACCAACCTCCTGGATGAGCAAAGTGAAGGTTTTACAGCTGTATGTGCTCAAGAGGAAGGATGGACAGGAAAGCTCGGTACTAAGATGACACTTATGAAAATCAGGACTCCCGAGAAAATCCTGATAAGCTTTCCATCTCTGAGGAGAATCTGCTCAGTGATTTTCCAAAGTGATTAATAAGCACCACCTGCATGTCAGCTTTGCTATTCGTTCATTTATCACCTTCTAACTGTATTCTTTCTCATCCCTCTTAACTTCCACCAAGAATTTAAAGTGGAAAGAAGTTAAAAGAATCCTGAACTTGAAAGAGGTAGAGAAGTTTCATGATTTTATATTTAACATGGATGAAACAACTTTAGGTGAGTTTTTTAAATAATTAAAGTAACTAACAGGGTATGGGTACGAAAAGTATGTCTCAGCCTCTTAAAGCCCAGTATCTTTTGATAAACAAAACTTACATACCCACCCTATAATTTGTATTGTGAAAAGTGTATTACATTTTCCAAAAAAAATTTTTAAAACACAGCCTGGCTAAGAATCATGCATTCATGATTGATTTTCTCTCAAAAGGATAAAACAAGCTGGCCCTTGATTTAGTTTAGTGTTGGGAATGATAGCAGCAAATGTCAGCTTTTCAAAGATTCTATCTAATCCAGTTCCCAGGTTAGGAGGTCAGGAAGAAAAAAAAAAAATCCATCTTTCATATATTGAAACAAAGTCTTTCCCAACAGACAGTTGAGTCTTAATTGCAGTCTGTGCAACAGCACATACTTTTGTCTATGTTCACACAGTAAACCATAGAAACACACTGGCTCTGATGGCTACCTGTGGAGGACAGACAGACTGATCCAGTGTTTACTTAGTATAGCCACCGTTGGCTTCTTCGGTCAGCAGGGCCTTAGAGATGCTTACCGTATGCGCACAGTCCAGGAAGGACATGCCCAGTGCAATCAAACACTGCCAACCCTGAAAGATGAAGTAGAGTCATCATTCACCAGCCTCTCCGAAGAGCCTTCTTACCCACCATGACGCTCACGCCGCACTGCTCAGACGCAAACCTGCTCTCTTCCCTGCATATCTAGCTTTGCTCATCTCCCGTCACCAAGGTTGAGCAAGTCCTTCTCCCAACCCCATGCCCCCTTCAAAATATCGAGTCTGCCTTCCCTCATCAACATTTTTCTTATACTATTTTCAATACAAGCTCCCTGCTCCTACTGCTTTCTGTTTGTTGTTTGTTTCTCTGACCCAACTGGAGTTCCCTGAAGACCCATTCCTCATGATGAAGGTGGAGGTGGAGGGAATGACAGACAGACTGACTAATACAACTGGAAGAGTATCCTGAACTGCTCTATGAAGTACATGTCTGAGGGGCTTAATAGTAGTAACCCACCCTGGAATCAGCCCTCAGACTTAAAATGGGTCTTCAACACCCTCGATAGTCTCGGGGTGATGAGGACAACTCAGACCCCTTCGTTACCAATCTGTGGAAGGAAGGATTCCCTTAACTTCTACAGTGAATTTTTAAAATAATTCCTATCAAGGGTATGTTCAGTTACTTGGGTGTCCTTGCAGTAAATCCCCAGACTATAGGCTCAGCATAATCCTAGTGAGCCCCAGGTTTACTGGGGAGAAAAAAAGAAATGATACATCAATCCAGGACATAATTTTTCAAGTCACTAAAGTGATTTTCTCAATCTAGTACCTAACCTTTGGCAAACGTTGGCATGGGAACTAGGTAAGTGTTCAAAAGATCAGGTTTCCAGCCTCTGTCCGGTTTTAACCATTCCCTGCAGCAGACATGGTAGAATTTCTGCTGCCCCTAATCCTCTACACTTACATTTTTCAGAGAAACCTGTGTGGAACAGGTAGATGGATTTGTTGTTTTGGTACTAGAACTATTTCTGTTACTGTAAGTAATGTTACAAAAGATTTGGAAAATAGAGAAAAGAATTTAACTATGATGGTACCATCCTTTTTTTTTTAATGTTTATTTATTTTTGAGAGAGAGAAAGAAAGAATGCGAGTTGGGGAGGGGTGCAGAGAGAGAGAGGGGAGACAGAGGATCTGAAGCAGGCTCTGTGCTGAGAGCACAGAGCCCGACTCAGGGCTTGAATTCACGAACCGTGAGATCATGACCTGAGCCAAAGTTGGAAGCTTAACCGACTGAGCCACCCAGGCGACCCCATGATGGTACCAATCTAACACAACTATCACCCTAGACTTTTGATAAAGAACTTGATTATCTTGGAACACATTATTCTGTATTCATTTTCTATGAAGCTCCAATTGCATAACCATCATTTTTAAAATCACTCTAGAGTGTGATTTAATGAGAGAGTATCACTGTTCTTTCTTTATGAGACAGCTATGAAACGGCAGAGCTGAGCAGGGCTGGGAACTCACATGTATCCCATCCCAGAGCTCTGGCATCACATGCATCTCGTACTGCTCTCTACTTCCTCTGCTCTTCTTTTAGTTCCTCAAACACAATACACTCTCTTATTAGAAATTGCTAAGAATGGAAATCAGCAGAAGTGACATGACAGCTTTAAGAGTCTAAATTTTATGGTTAAAAATACTGTTTAACCACAGCTGACATTATTAGGAATTTCATGTAAACTGTTCCAATGACCTGGAGATAAGATGGCTGTGTACTCTTTTGGGTCCTTTCATTTTGGTATCAGTAAGCCCGTCTCTACCAACTCTGCTACACATACCCCTGCTCCCTCCTGAATGGACTTACCAAGTATAAGACAAAGCTCAGATAAGCCACACTGGCCAGAGCAGCTACCACATACAATGCCACATGCCCTAGTTCCCGGACATAAACCATGACAAAGTACATGTTGATGGAACAGACGATAAGGACCAAGATCCCGCCTGCAATCCTCCAGCCTCTGTAAAAGAATCAGCAATCACTGGTGGAATAGTCCAACCTATCCATAAGTAGAAAAGGACACTTTGTCTTGTGGGGTAAACAGGACAGAAGGAAGAGGCATTTCAAAATGAACTGAAAATTGTTCTTACTATGTCCCAATTAGATTAAATGAGCCAAATAGACACCAATAGGGAGAAAGAGGCAGGGGAAAGACTATCAAATAATCCCTAATATTTAAGTTCCTAAAAATGCAACAAGTCCTGAGTTCCTAGAGATGCAACAGACAATTTCAAATACCCCACACCCTTTAAAGATGCTTATAAAATATATTAGTTTATGCCTTTCTCATTAAGATCACTTAACATGAAATTAAGGCAGCTTCAGTGGCTGAAGCTGAAAAATTAAAACCCTAAGAGCTGAACTTTCTCTCCTAGAAATGGGGAATGTGCTTGCCTTCTTTTAACTACATTCAGAGCCTCCATTTGCTAAGCCAAAGATTGAGGGGCAGCTCTAGGAATCACTTCCCAAGGCATTCAGTTTCCTACATGACTCATTTTCTGACTGGCCTGTTGGATGAAGATACCACTTCCCCACATAGATTTGGGGAACTGAGACAAGTACACTCACATTCCATTGGCAAAGTCATTCATTACTGGCCGCAAGCTCGTAAATGTGAGGATGGGTATCAGAGCAAAGGGAAGCTGGAAAAGAAAGAACAAAGATCAGACAGGGCCACTGGAAATCCTTATATTACCTGGCATGTTAGCACAAGGGAAACACACACCCTGCCTCATCTCCCCCATGAGAAATTACTCCTATCATCCCAACATGTTCATGTATCACGCTGAAATCTAGAGAGCCATCATTAATTCAGCATTGATCATGATCCTTTAGATCCTTAAAAACATTTATATCTTCCTTGTCTTAACCTCCATAGGACCTGTGTCCTATGTTATTTAATATCTGCTTGGATTAAGAAACAATAATTTTATACTCTATGCGTAATTATAGCAAATAATTCCCATTCAACAGGTTTTTAAAAACAAACCATTTCCAACAGATTTTACTTATTTTAAAAAAGTTTTTAATTTATTTGAGAGAGAGAACAGGGGAGGAGCAGAGAGAAGAAGAGACAGAATCCCAAGCAGGATCTGCACTGTCAGCACAGAGCTGGACGCAGGGCTCGAACTCACAAACTGAGATTATGACCTGAGCCGAGATCAAGGGTCTGACACTTAACTGACTGTACCACCCAGGCACCCTACAAGTTTTTATTTATGTATTCATTTTTTGTTTGTTTATATTTGAGAGCAAGTAGGAGGGGGAGAGGGAGACAGAGAATCCCAATCAGGCTCTGCTATCAGCATAGAGCTTAATGTAGGGCTCAAATCCATGAACAGTGATATCATGACCTGAGCTGAAGTCGAGTGGGCTGCTTAACTGAATGAACCACCCAGGCGTCCCTAAAAGGGTTTTAGATACCAGGGATTCCATACATTTACTGCAGACCGAGACTGTGCCTCTTTCTTCCTCTCAATTTTCCCCAGCACCCAGCCATACAGACTGGGTACCTAAGGGCAATACAGAACGCTGCCTGATTAAATGGAATGGGAGTGGGAGTTTCCTCAGCTCCTTCCTCACCTGTAAGCTCTGCAGAACATTCAGGAAGTCATTCATCCCTGTTAGATGCTCTACATCCTGGAAGACGGCAACAAGCAGAGTGGGGATGATGGCAATAGAGCGGGTCAGAATCACTCGGGCAAAGCGTGACCATTTTAGGTTCAGGAATCCCTGGAAGAAAACACAGAAGCAGGATGAGTGTCTAGAATAGGAAACAGAGGAAGCTTTGGGGAGATCCGGGAAGGCCGTGGAAACACGGGAGTAAGCGGAAGTAACAAAAGGACCATGTTTCCTTCCTCTAATGTATACCGGTCACAAGAGCACACACCTCCATGACGAACTGGCCAGAATAGGTTCCAGTCATGGTGGAGCTCTGGCCTGCAGCAAGGATCCCCACTGCCCAGATGTAGAGTGCAGCAGGCCCAAAGTAGCACCCCAGCACGACACCCTGGCAGAAGCAAGGGAGAAAGTTTGTGTCAATCATCTGCTCAGGCAACACCCCAAACAGAACTTCTCTGCAGCATTTCTCCCTCCTCCTTCCTTTTTTTTTTTTTTTTTATTTTTTTTATATTTTTATTTATTTCTAGGAGAGAGAGAGAGACAGCATGAACAGGGGAGGGTCAGAGAGAGAGGGAGTCACAGACTGAAACAGGCTCCAGGCTCTGAGCTGGCAGTCAGCACAGAGCCCGACGCGGGGCTCGAACCCACGAACCGCGAGATCATGACCTAAGCGAAAGTCGGACGCTTAACCGACTAAGCCACCCAGGCGCCCCTCCCTCCTCCTTCCTATGCACCAACCTACACCAAGGGCTGTGCTGGGCACTATACCAGAAGCTAGACTTGGGACCGGACCTCACTTTAGAGGCCTTTAACCTAAATTTTCCTAAATGAAATATTCTTTCATTCCTCTGCCTACTCTCTTCTCTTCTCAAAGTTCTTAAAGCCTAGTTCATCTTCAACCTAGATCCTAAACATGCTAAAAAAAAAAAAAAAGTGTATACCACATTTCCCAAATTATACTACTTAACACACTATTCTGGAAGATAGTAACAGGAGTGAAGAAAAAGGTCAAGTAAATTTGGGAAATGTTACATAAGCTATGTATTCTACTCATGCAGGTTCATAATATAACTAACATAAAAGGGACTGAGAGGTCCTAATAAAGAATACTTTACCAGGAACACTTTCTTTAGTCTTCCCCAATCAATATCCTTTATAGGATATTTTATAACTGGGTGCCTGAGTGGCTCACTCAGTTGAGCATCCAACTTCAACTTCATGATTCTGCGGTTTGTGAGTTTGAGCCCCGTGTCGGGATTGCCACTGTCAGTGCAGAGCCCGCTTTGGATCCTCTGCCCCTCCTCCACTTGTGTGCACGTGCGTGTGCACTCTCTCTCTCTCAAAAATAAATTTAAAAATTTTATTTTTTTTCCTCTGTGATTTTTATTCCATTTCCTTTCTTTTTTTTCTTTCTTTCATAGTTTATTGTCAAGTTGGTTTCTTAAATCTAAAAATTTTTTAAAGAAATTTTTTAAAAATCCTATGAAACAATATACTACCAGCATAACTCTGGGAATGGCTGAAACTGTCCATCTTTATCTTTCAGCGGATCCTCTATTCCCTCCCACGGAATCCAAAAATGCTTGTCAGAGGCATCTAGACCTCTGAAATAAATGGCACTCCAGAGAAGATAAGTTCAGTTCTGAAGTGAACCCACAGAAAAGACCAAATCCCAGTCCAAGACTATTAACTGAGGAGCAATGATCACAGATGTGAATAGGTTTACCCCTTTATAGATGTCCACAGCCAGGGTCGAGTTATCGTCAGGGAAGAGGCTGGTGTGGGGACTGCTGGTGTTTCTACAGACTGCAACCTGGAATGCAAGCAGTGTAGGAGCTTTTTATTTTTGAGGCAAGGACCAGATCAGAAGAACTCTCCTGCAAATCACAAACTACACGTCATATTCAAGTCATCTATGAGACACAGGTTGGAGGTAAGACACTGGCTACGCTGTAAAGGGAGCAGAGACTGGCACCAATATCACAAGGGGCCTTCTTCCAAAATGTTTCTACACCCACATGCCATCAAAGATGTTTACTGAGTAAAGAGTGTGCATGGTAGTACGTGAATGCTGGCTCACTTTCAGTGATGACTGGAGGAGAAGGCCCCTGAGAAATAGGAGAGGACTCCTTAGTCAAAACAGAGCCAAAAATCTGAGCTCCTACAGACAGGCAATCAGGAATCAAGATGACAGAGAATTCAAAATGCAAGAGTGGAAAAAAAAAATGCAAAGCAGTGTATGCTGGCCAGCTTCTGTTTGCTGTTTGTTGACTCCTCCCCACCTGTCCTTATCACCAAATGGCGGGACTGGCAAGCAGGCTGGCAGTTGATAAACAGGAAACAAGAGGGGATGACAAAGAGCCAAACAGACATGAAGCCACTAGCACAGCAACATGAAGCAATCTTCAGTCTGAGGCAAGCTCCCTGCTGTGCCAAAAGCTGGGAAAAATGGGCCTAGGCTTAGTCTGCCCTCGGACTCCAGACCCTGACCAGTGCAGTGGTTAGGAGGCATCCTGAGGGTGGAGATCTGTTTCCCTGGAGCTTCAAGTCACCGTCATTCTGCCTACCCCACTCCTTCACTTCATCCTCACGTTCACTACCATTCATGACCCTGGCTTACTCACCACCTGGTCGTTGGTTTTTTCAAAAAATGCTTCGGCAAAGACGGAGACGACAAAGACGTTGATGATGAAGGAAACAAAGAGGGCGATGCAGGATTCAATGAAAAAGTACTTATTAGCTTCTCGTACCTCCTGCTTATTGGCTCGGTTTACCTGTCTGGACTAGAGAGAGGATAGCAGTAGTTGTTAATTAGTTAGAACAAATCTCCTTGTAATACTGCATGAGGTTGAGTTAGCTGAAAGATTTAGAGGGCAAAACAACCAACCATATGGAATGTGAGAAAACGCACTTAACATCCTAGTTCACGAAATGAGTAAGAACTTCGTGACACTTTGACAACACTGTACATTCCCCAAACAGGAAATGATGACTATGTGCTACTGAGCTCTCAGTTACTGTGGCTAGAAGAACCACTGACATGTAAAACAATCTGATTTCCAGTCCTAATAACCTTAATTATAAAAGTCTCTGAAATCTCCCAGGGAACTGTTGTACAAGACTGGCTGATAAAAGCTTGGTGGGGCTCTCTACTTCTGATCTCTCAAGGTCACTCAGCCTTTTGAGATTTAAACACAAGAGACTTGGTATACTTTTGGACCTTTTATGGAGAACTTTAGTCCCAGTTTTCCTATTGGGTCGCTTATTTCTGGTCACCTTTGTGATAAAAACAGTCTAAGTGTGTGGAGTTTATAAACAGCCACCCGTGGAAAAATACTTCTCTCCTTTAGGGCTCTAACAGTTTTAAACTACGTGTGTGTCCCTTGCAACTAAAGTAAACATCAACTATCCGGGGGGCAGAGAGGTAAGGGCCACGCTCACCTTGACTAAGGCAGAATGCAGGTACATATTGTGTGGCATGATGACAGCTCCCACGATGCCCACAGCCTGCTCGATCTGTGGGGTGTGACAGCCTGGACAGGATGGCAGGAACATGCCCTTGAGTACCTGGCTCTGGCTGGGTTTCACTGTAACATACTATATACCAACATAACAACTATTAGGAGATGCGACCAGGGGAGTAACATAGTACTAGGAAACACCCAGCATCCATTGCTCCTTATAACACTTTCTTCAACCACTACCTAGAACAATGAGGAACACAGAACCACCAGAAAACCAAGAGGCATAAGAGGTGCTTGCTGCCAGAGGTCTGAGAATTCAGGACTGGGGTACCTGGATATTTTACATCATATTTTAAATATACAGAGTAGATGTATCGAGAATGTAATTAATATTCTAAAGAAACAGAGAGCTGCTAAGGGCCTCACTGATAGCAGCTTCACAATCACTCCTGTCAGACAGACCCAAGCATACAGTCAATTCTTTTTTTTTTCATTTTTATTATTTTTTTAAAAAATTTATTTCTGAGAGAGAGAGAGAGAGAGAGAAAGAGAGACAGCATGAGCAGGGGAGGGTCAGAGAGAGAGAGGGAGACACAGAATCTGAAACAGCCTCCAGGCTCTGAGTTGGCTGTCAGCACAGAGCCCGATGTGGGGCTCGAACCCAGGAACCTTGAGATCATGACCTGAGCCGAAGTCGGACACTTAACTAAGCCACCCAAGTGCCCTATAGTCAATTCTTGATTACCCACACGTATGCCTCTATTCACTTATGCTTATCTAAAAATCACTTATGTTTGCCACTAATGTATGCTGTGAGACTCAGTCATAAATACTTCTCATACATACTTTGTCCTGGTTCAGCATTTCTCTTAGAACCCTTAGACTAACCTATTGCATAATCTATTCACAGATTAGATATATTTTTCAAAGTTCAGTGAGGTCAATAAGCAAAAACCAGTTTATAACAATTGAACATAGGGGCACCTGGGTGCCTCAGTTGGGTAAGCATCCAACTCTTGATTTTAGCTCAGGTCATGATTTCAAGGTTCATGAGACCGAGCCCCAAGTGGGACTCTGTGCTAACAGATGGAGCTTGCTTGAGATTCTCTTTCTCCTTTTCTGCCCCTCCCCTGCACGCATGCACAGGCACACACACTCTCTCTCAAAATAAATAAATATTTAAAAATACAATTGGACATAGAAAGGCACTATTACTGCATAAAATTACACTGTTTCCTAGGAGTATCCGGGTTGGGGCACAAAGCAGGAAAGATCCACTATACCCATTACAGTTCATTAACTGGTGCAATACAGAGAAAGTTGAAGCTGCAGCTGGTATAAGCCAGGATGAGTAAAACTAGAACCCCTCCAAGTTAAGAGCTAAGAATAACCCTCCAACCTCCTCCCTAACTCTCTCCCAAGATGCTCTATTGTTGGGATGGCCAACTTGGAACCAGGGAGTCTAGTGTAGGAAGTCCTAAAAAATCTAGTCATTTCTGAAGTAGGAGGCCCAGCAGGACTTCCTGGAGACTCGCCTTTGCTGCAGATCCTATTCCTCCAAAACTGGCCTAGGCTGAATCGGCTTTTTGTTAATACATGGGATACAATTAAACCATCCTAGCATTATACGATCTTAAAATAAAAGGCAAAAAAAAATCTTTTTTATTGTTGTAAAAAGCTAATGAAAGTACTAAAGCACTATAACACTTGCCTCATATCCAAATGTGAGAGCCATAATAGTGATGAGAAAGCCAAAAAATGCTTCTAGCTTCCGCAAGCCTGAAAGGGAAAATGCAACAGTGAGCTCACAGAAGGCAGACTTCTCTATCAGCCACGTGAAGGAAAGAAGATTCTTTGACTGACCCCTCCATCCCCACTCTCCTTACCGTATTTGTCCAAAAAGAGAAATACAAAGGTATCTGCAATGGTGATGAGAACTCCACCCCACAGTGGAACCCTAGGTCAGAGGTAAGAAATGGAAATTAAAGGAAAGAAAAGGAAACATTGAGAAACACTTCCTTTCCAACAGCTCTCCAGACATACAACTCTTAGAGAAGCAAGGACTTGGGGGAGAGGCGACAGTGGTGGGAGGTCAGGCCTTAGCTAGTTTAGGGTCACAGCATCAACTGAATTAATTACATTCACTCAAACACTGATTGTCTACTAAGTCAGACATTTCAGATACAAAGCTGAGAAGTATAGGTCTTCCCCCTCAAGGAGCTCTTTGTCTAGTGGGATAAGCTGATACACAAATAAATACTTGTAACACACAATATCACATACTGTATAATAGCAGGATGTATAACCCAACATGAAAACATGGAACAGAGAGACCCTACAGGCTGCTGGGAGAGAAGGTGGCTCCAGAAAGGTTCCACAGAAAAAATAATACTCAAGTTGAAGCTTGAAAACTGAAAATGAGTTGGGTTTTTGTTTTTACACTTGTTTTGAAATCTAGAAAAATATTACTCTCTGGAGGAAAACCTTCTCACCTTCCTACAGACAGGAGATTGATGGCAATGGCTGAGCCAATAACTTCTTGCATATCTGAGCCAATGATAGCCAACTCCACCATCAGCCATAGGATAATTCGTGGGACCTAAATACCAAACAGCAGAAAGACATAGTTCTAATTAATCATTTCTAAGAACTTTCCTTATAGTTTAGAATTCACATCTGGCACTGACCCCTCCACAGTCCGTCATAGCTGTCAGTTTAGGGATGAAGAAACAGAACTGGGCTCCACCCTGCCCATCATTGCACTGTGGCCCCCCATCAGAGAAAGCAAGAGTGTTTTCTATGTGGTAGAACCTATGAGCCAAGGTCAGGGCAAAGGCTGATCCTAATTTTTTCTCTTTCCTTTCCACTCAACAGGGGAATGGAATTTCCATTCATTAATTTCCACTTAATTTCCTGCCTAAAAACAATCTTAAAAGTTTCAGGGGAAAATGAGGATGTTCATATGGTCAAAATATTGTTCAGGAGAGAATAGAAAATGACCACAGAAGAAAATATCTTGACCATGGCTAAAGAGACAAAACGAAAAAGAAAAGGCTAGGGTCATCCTTACTGTAATGATAATACATGAGCAAGTGAAACAGGACAGATATGTAAAAGGGACTCAAGGCGAACTGATTGGAACTGAGTGGCATATAAGTACGAAACTAATTTGGTCAAATAATCCAGCCAGCAGACAAATTTAGTTAATACTGGTTCACAGAGGCCAAGAAAAAAGAAATCTTCAGGTATTTACTATACAAAAATATTATCACACACACAAAAAAAACAACCGTTAAGATAAAGAGAAGCTATAAGAAATTATAAATTGCCTTGGTTTTTTTGAGAGGCATAGATGGGGGAAAAAAGGAGATAAAGATAGCTTCTTGCAGCCAGGAAAAGAATTAAACATTTAGGACAAACCAGAGGCAGATCAGTATCTTATCTAAAAATGAACTGAGGTTAAAACTATCTTGTACACACAGAGTCCATTCCTGCCTTAGATAGCAGTGAGAAAGGGCCAAAATGTCCAGAAAAAAAAAAACTGTAGAAAAAGTATAACCTCCAGGGTCAGGGTAAATTGAAAAATAGAATTATTAACAAATCCAAAGATCCTGCCACATGTAGTCTGTAGTAAAAGGATAAACCTTATTTCTCAAATTGATGACAAAGTCAATCAAAAAAGAAAATAAGTATAATAGTAATATGGACGTATGAATGAAAGTGTTTAGGGCACTCACACCCCTCCATGGGCTAGGCACTGCGAGATGCCAGAAGGCAGAATGAATGGGAGATATTTATTCAAAGAATTTTTCAAAGGAAGCTTTCTGGCAAAAAGCGAATCTCAAGTTAAATTCTGAAGGAGTATAGAAATATGGGTTGGCAACAAGAAGGACTACAAGATTCCCTCTGGGACTCACCCTCAGGGCCCCTGACTCCCAAGCCCTCAGGCCAGTACACATCGCCCGACACACAGGTTCCTATAAGATGAGTAACAAACAGCACAACACATTGCTCACCCTGGGATACTGACGGTGACACACTTCAGCAAGATGTAGCCCCGTGACCACTCCCAGTCTAGCTGCGAGGCGCTGGAGCAGGAGCCCCACAATGGTGGCCAACAGAAGTACCCAGAGCAACTAGGGAAGAACAAAATCCCATCATAACACTCATTAGACAACTGGGGCGTTTTTGTTTGGCTGTTTAGCAACGTGAATGAGAAATACAACATTCAGGAAAGGGCCCAGGTCTGAAACCAAATGACCTGAGTTCTGTATCAGGTTCTGTACATAACCTGCTAGGTCAGCTTGTACCTTTCTGAGCCTTAGTTTCCCCCACTTACAGTTTCTCCTCTGTTCAAGGAAATTATGTGGAGTAGATTAAGAAAAAAAAAACAATAAAAATTTAAAACCAAACAGGTAACTAAAATAAATTAAGGGGTGACTGGGTTGCTCAGTCGGTCAAGCGTCCAACTTTAGCACAGGTCATGATCTCACAATTTGTGAGTTTGAGCCCCAGGTGGGGCTCTGTGCTGACAGCTCAGAGCCTGGAGCCTGCTTTGGATTCTGTATCTCCCTCTCTCTGCCCTCTTCTGCTCGCTTTAAAAAGGGGGCACATGGATGGCTCAATCAGTTGAGCAGTCCAACTTCAACTCAGGTCATGATCTCACAGCTCTTGGGTTTAAGCCCCACATTGGGCTCACTGCTGTTCAGTGAGGAGTGCACTTCAGATCCTCTCTCTCTCTCTCTCTGCCCCTCCCCCATTCACACTTTCTCAAAAATAAACACACACTTAAAAAAAAAAAAAAAAGCAAACACAGGGAAAGTACTTTTCACCTAAGTGTCACTGCCAATGACGTATCTGCATGTAACCCCCGAGGCGGACATCCAACAGAGTCGGGGGAAAGGATATGAGGGTGTACTGTGGGTTTAAAAGGGACAGGGGTAGGGCCAGATGTTTACCTTAAATCCGGCCACTGCTCCAGACTGCAAATCAGACTCAATGTTTCCTGGATCCAAGTAGGCAATACTCATAAGAAAGCCCGGTCCCGTGAAAGCCCAGAGTTTACGAAAGCTAAAACAAGAATACTATACAAGAGAGGAAGAGATCACACTAATTATCACCTCCAAATTACTGATCTAATTTATCTGTTATTTTGTCACATATAAAGCAACAATATCAACTTCACAAGATTCAAAGATTTAGGATGTCGGACACTGGGTATATCCAAGCTCAACTTCTACCTTACCCACTTCGTATCAATAAGCTAGCCACTTCTCTGTCCAAATAGGAGCCCTTTCTTTTACTTGTTCTTTCCATCAATCAGCCTCTCAGTCTAAAACCTATCAGTGTTCCTGTGCCCAATCACTAACCAAAAGGGACACTGTAAAAAAAAAAAAAAAAAAAAAAAGAACATGAAATTCATACTTCTAGATAAAAAAACATTCACTAGTACAAGTGGCAACTGTTTTCAAGGCCCTCATTTTCCTGAACAGTTTCTACTTATTCTGATTACAGAAGCTGTCTTCAGAGACTGCTTGCCAAAATCAGAGGTGAGGCTGTTGACATTGAGTTATCCAGCAGATGTTTCACTCCTAACTTTTCCCTAAATAAAGTTTTCCTCCAAAGATGTGTCACTAACCTCCTCTTCAGGAATGGCGATTTTCTCATCAAAATAGGTGGTGAAGGGCTCCTGGGAGTGCCCAGTGGATTGGGAAAGAGACGAGCTACTATAGGCAGGGTTGAGGGTACCAAGGCTGGCAGAGTCCCCATGGTCTCCAGAAGCATCATCTAAATTAACAGGTTTGAGAAGAAATAAAAATGAACAAAATACACTAACAACTCATCCTTAGTAACTTTTAAATTAAATCTTTTAATACCTAAAAGTACAAGACCAACCTGACTCTACTCAATGTATTTCTAATGTTTTATTTATATTTTTAATAAATTAATTCCTTTTTTTAAAAGTTTATTTTGTGAGAGAACACCAGTGTTGGGGAGGGGGGGAGACACAGAGAGAGAGAATAAGAGAGAGAAAATCCCAAGTAGGCGCCACGCTGTCAGCACAGAGCCCAATGCAGGGCTCAAACTCACAAACCGTGAGATTATGACCTGAGTTGAAGTCAAGAGTTGGATGCTTAAACGACTGAGCCACCCAGGCGCCCCCCAAATAAATTAATTCTTTAATAGGCAATATATTCACAGAGATGGAAATTCGGGAAATAAAAAAGCTTACAGTAACAAAGTTCCTTCTCACCCCTCTTCCCCACTCTGCTCTTGATCAGTTTTAACACTCATCTTGCCATGGTTTTCCTACTTTCACACTTCTTTATTCCCAGGTGGCAATTTTTAGAACCATTTCATTTTCTTCTGAAACCATGGATGTCTAGGGCTCAAAATATAACACTCCCAGACTGGTAACCTAAAATCCTAACTTTTAGAAGAAAAGAACTAAGTCTGTCTAGTTCTGTCACCAACTCATCATTTGTTTGGTAGGATTTATAAGAATCATCCTTGGACATTACAACTCTGTCAGGATTTTCAATCAATGTGGAAATTGAAAACTCCTGCCACAGTTCAAGCTAAAATCTGAACCTGCGGGGAAACCACCAAGCAGGAATCCTTTGCCTCCTGACTAAGGTCTCCAGTGAAGAGCTTCGGGTCACAGAGTGTGGGCGCCCTCATGATAGGAGGGCTCATCTTAGACTGGTAATCAGTGTTTCCCTGAGTCCTGAATTTCGCAGTTAGTCTTAAGCCCTAGGAAGGGGAGGGTCTGGGAGAAAAGGGCTAATCTGCCAGAAGGACACAAAGCCTAGTTTGGTAGGCATCAAACTGCTACTTTGAGCCACAGAGCTCTCTAATGTTAGGGTTTCCAAGAAATCCTTGCAACCTCCAATTAGAAAAACAAAAGCTTTCTTTCTATAGGGAGCTGACCCACTTGATGTGAAGTGGCCCTGAATTAATGAAGAAATTTAAAGAAAAGGAATGAAAATTCTAAAGGGGACATTTAGAATTAGGAAGGATTACAGCACTCAAGAAGCTCTAATGAAATACAGTTTAAGGTGCTTGCTCGGTATTTTACTGCTACTTACGTTAAGTATTTGCAGTGAAGAGCCAAGCATTCTAAAGAATTTAATGCCAGGTCTGTGATTAATACTGCCCTCGCAATCATTACTGCTATAGAAACCAAACTTGTAACTAATCTTGGCTCATCTCAGAACTGCAAGTAAGATAGGAGACAGATCTCTGTAGTTATAAATCTATTTCATTTACAGCCTCTAGGTTACCAGATGGTGACTGGATTGGACCTGACTGGAGCAGGTCTCTGTGATGATACTGTTGGCTAGGGAAGAGGAGTTAAGGACAGTTTTTGTTATCACAGAAGACAAGAAGGAAAATATGGTCAATTTCCATTACTGATTTAAACCTAATTCTGGGGCGCCTGGGTGGCTCAGTCAGTTAAGTGTCTGCCTTTGGCTCAGGTCATGATCTCATGGTTTGTGGGTTTGAGTCCCACATCAGGCTCTGCTGACAGCTCAGAGCCTGGAGCCTGTTTCAGATTCTGTGTCTCCCTCTCTCTCTGCCCCTCCTGCTCATGCTCTGTCTCTGTCTCTCGCTCTCAAAAATAAACAAACATTTTAAAAAATTAAAATAAAAATAAACTTAATTCCAAATAAAAATCATACAATAACACAAAGCTGTAAATTACCATCCGGCATCTTCTGTTCAGGACCCAATACCATGGTGGATGCCTGAGTGTCCAAGTTCTTAGAATAGGATTCTGGAAAGGAGAAAAGGAAGAGAGGAATCAGCAAGAACAAACTAAAAAGTTCAGAACCAGCGTTTTGTTACTCTGCATAACTGACCCCATACTATATGAAAAGAATTATTCTACTAAACTAGATAACCTTGAAAATAGTTACAGTTTTCAGAGTATGACTGAGATATTTAATAAAAAATATAAAAGTCTTGCTAATGAGACTTCAAAACCAAACTGAAGCAAAAGGTATTTCAGGAAAGTAGGTAAATGCTTTTTAATAAGCATCCACAGAGAGGCTGCTAGGCAATTCCCCAGTTTCTGCCTTTTGCTTCCAGAATAACTCAAATACTTAAAACCAGATTGGTCCGCCTGCCTTTACAAGTTTTTAAGGACAAAGATCTGTAACTCTTTTTGATCTAAGAAACATTATAATTGAGCTCATGCTTCAATTTTCTGAAAGCGGGGAGAAAAGTACCTTACCACCATACTAGCTGAGGAGGGCCATTATCTCCGGGCCTCATATTTCCCTGAGGAGAGAGAGACCTCTCCCGTAACATTTCTCATTCCCTCACCTGTCAACCACTGGGAGCACAAACTAATCACCACGGGCCTCCTCTCCTGGGCTCTCAGGGAGAGATGAGGTACCAGGAGGACTAGGCAGAGTCTGCCGGATGCCAGCACTTCTCTCTCCATCCTGCAAGGCTGGGTTGGGGTAGGGGGCACTGGGGATGAGTGCCTGTCCCAGAAGCCCAGCATCCTGATGGGTTAAGTTTAACCGGGAGAGCGGAGGATGGTAACAAGTCCATCCGGCCACTGGTCTACGGAGTATTCTCCAGTTAACCCCACCAATCAGGCTGGTTTTTTAACATTTCGATCTACTGATTAAGGAATTTATTTCTCAGTTTATTTCAAATTTAGCAGAAAGACAAGCCAATATTTATTGTTAACCCTGACTCCCGCCTAAATCCCAATAAAAACTATCCTCCTGGAAAAGTTATAAAACCTTTCCTTAGTTATCTTTTACTGTATAAAGTCTTCATCTTTTGTCCCTTGTTCCTGTCCAAACATTCCTCTACTTTCTTTTTTAAATACTCTATCTACCAACATATTCTGTCCCTATTTTAAAGAATTACAGAATTCAGACCTGAAGGGTTTTAGGTTTCATCTATCTTCCCGGATATAAAACATACCACCAGTTGCTAATTTGGAAAACAATCTTTTACCTCTATTATCACCAATATCAAGTATTTTGTTGCAATGGACAACTAGCCATGTCTCTCATAACGGGTTTTAAGCCACCATATGGGGAAACACTAGCCAACAGATGCCAGTAATACTGATGACATTCAAACCCTCTTTAGCACCTCACCTAAATGAGATTTCCCTAGCTAACCACTCAGAGTAGCAGTAGCCACTTGGATTCCAATCATAACACGGCCCCTTGACCCCATCCAGAGCCTTTTTATTTTACATAGAATTCTAAGAGGCTAGGTTATCAGGTTATCCTAACCCATCATAAATTAGGCACCGCAAATCAGCTGTGGGACTGTGGCTCTTACAGGAAAAGGGTCTTGGGCCACTTGGTATGAGGTAAAGAGTCCTTTATACTTTGATCAACTCTGAGAACATTATTATTATTTAAAATGATATTAATATTTTAGTATATTAATATAATAAATTTTGGTGTTAATACTGTTAATAACTATTAATATTAATTATATATAACATTCATATAATATGTAATATATAATTATAATACATAAATATATTGTTATTAAGACTAACTCAAGTTTCTTCCAATGCGGCCCTACTCACTAAGAACTGACTAAACTAGATTACTTTTATAGTGATAACGGATACCCTGTTTAAGGCACATAAGTGTTGAACACATCTGTTAAATAATTTTAGACAGAAATATTTCATGATAAAATGTTTTACAATTGTTACTTGTATTCTAAGGGATTATTCCTACACTAATTACATACAGAGCCAATAAGAAGTCTGGTCTTCTCTCTGAAATCTCAGAAATGTATTATTTTAAGAAAGGAAAAGCGATTATAGATTCCATCTTTCTCATCAAAACTTTCAGTCAACAAACTAGAAGTTCCACTGTTTCCAGTGTCTACAGAACATAACGAGGGCAGGGAATAGAGAAGGTCAATTAAGCCTGGTGTTTAAATCGCCATGAAAATTTAAGACTCCTATGGAAGCAGTGAGTTAATGTTAAGAGAGCTGTGCTCCCTAGGACCATACCACCAGATCGTTTCAGTCATTTAACTATATTAATAAAAAGATCAAGTTGAAATACAAGCAATCAGAATCAATCCAGCAATACTTTGATAATTATGATTAATATATCTTTGATAATATTCTAGCTCACCCTCAACCATAAAGTGTCACCTTCTTCCAAAGCCAGCAAGTTTCCTCCTGTCAAACAGCAACAACAGAAAAAATGGCACTCCTGCTTAGATGTACTGTAACTGTTTTATCCCATTCCTTACCAAAGTTGTAAGAATAGGGTGCCTGGATGGCTCAGTCAGTTGAGTGTCAAACTCTTGGTTTTGGCTCAGGTCATAATCCCAGGGTCGTGAGATAAAGCCCCATGTCAGGCTCCTCACTGAGAGTGGAGCCTGCTTGGGATTCTCTCTCACCCTGTACCCCTCCCCAACTTGTGCATACCCACCCTCTTTCAAAAAAAAAAGTTGTAAGAATGTTTACAAGAGGGGTGCCTGGCTGGCTCAGTCTGTAGAACAATAGAGCATGTGACTCTTGATCTCGGGGTCATGAGTTCAAGTCCCACGCCTGGCACAGAGATTACTTTTAAACAAATGTTTTACAAGATAAAAAGGCTAATAAAATTACATTTTCTGTCTAAAATGTTAAAAGGGTACACAACCCTTGACCCAGCAATTCTATCTCTAAGAATGTATCCTAAAGAGACACTCATACAAAGAAGTATGTACAAGGAAACTTCCTGTAACACTGTTTGTATATCAAAAGACTAAAAACAATCTAGATATCAGTCAAAAACTGGGTAAATAGACTATGTACGTTCACAGGATGGAATGCCGTGCAGCTATTATAATAAAGCAAATCTAAGTGTACTGATAAGAGATAATCTCTAACACATGTTTTCAAGTAAAAAACCCAATTTATAGACAGTATAGAATCATTTATATGGCAAGAAGAAAAAAAAGAGGAGGGATGATAATATACATATGTACGTGTATGGACTACCTCCCAAGGACACACCAAAATCTAGTAACGGTGTCCCCAGGATAAAGGAGAGGGGGAGCACAAATAAGGTTGGGTGAAAGGAAGACCTCTCACTGAATATACACCATATACTATTTTGCACTTAAAATCATTTCGGGGCACCTGGGTGGCTCAGTCGGTTAAGTGTCCGACTTCAGCTCAGGTCATGATCTCGCAGTTCATGGGTTCGAGCCCCACATCGGGTTCTGTGTTGACAGCTCAGAGCCTGGAGCCTATTTCAGATTCTGTGTCTCCCTCTCTCTCTGCCCCTCCCCTGCTCACACTCTCTGTCTCAAAAATAAACAAACATTAAAAATTAAAAAACAATAAATAAATAAAACAAAATCATTTTGTCATGTCCTTGTATTTATTTTTTTGAACGTAAAGGTCCTATGGATTCACTCAGCTTCCAAACAAATACTTTCAGGATGTGTAGCTTAACTCTGACAAAACTTCTATAATGGATAATCAGCCATCTGCAGCTGCCCGCCTGGAGGGCATACACTATACTGGGTTTTTTTGGGATTTTTTTTTTTATTTCTGAGAGAGAGAGCATGAGCATGGGAGGGTCAGAGAGAGAGGAAGACACAGAATCTGAAGCAGGCTCCAGGCTCTGAGCTGTCAGAACAAAGCCCGACACGAGGCTCCAACCCACAAACCGTGAGATCATGACCTGAGCCGAAGTTGGACGCTTAACCAACTGAGCCACTCAGGTGCCCCACACTATACTGTCTTAAGTTTAACTTACAACCACTTTGTCTTGGTGCCCAAACAGCCATGCTCTGATATTATGAATTGGGAGTTTCATTTGAATGCAAAAATGAGAAGCTGCCACATCAGGAAGCAGTTTCCTGACTCCTTAATTTGGATATCCCCCCAAAACACATTAGCTATAATCAATACTGAACATCTAATTAACATTATTTCATGTGTTCTCTTAGTATTCACAAGAACTCTGGAAGAACAGTTCATTTTTTGAAGCACAATTTAGATAGCCCAAATCTGGGTTTTTAAAAAAAAATTTTTAATGCTTTATTTATTTCTGAGAGAGAGAGGCAGCATGAGCAGGGGGGTGTCAGAGAGAGAGGGAGACACAGAATCTGAAGGAGGTTCCAGGCTCTGAGCTGGCAGCACAGAGCCCGAAGCAGGGCTCAAACCCACGAACTGCAAGATCATGACCTGAGTGCTTAACTGACTTAACCGACTGAACCACCCAGGTGCCCCCCAAATCTGTTTTTAAATTTCCACCAAAAAAGTATGAAATACTGTACATTAAAACACATATAAGTTAAGGGTCATGATCTCATGGTTCCTGAGATCCAGCCCCAAGTTGGGCTCCACACTGACAGTGCAGAGCCTAGGCGCTTGGGGTTCTCTCTCCCTCCCAAAATAAATACACAAACTTAAAAAAAAATACATATACACACATGTGTATGCGAGGGAGAGGGAGGGGGAGAGGGAGGAAGGAGGGAGAGGGGGAGAGGGAGAGAGAGAGAAAGAGAGAGAGAAATGTTCTTTCCCTATGGTTAAAAAAAAAAGTTTGAATTTGAAATACTTTTTTCTTATAAAATTTCCCTGCTGAGAATAGGGGCCCTCAAAACTATTTCACTGATTTCAGAGACGCCTGGGTGGCTCAGTCAGTTAAGCGCCCACTCTTGATTTCAGCTCATGATCTCACAGCTCATGAGCTCGAGACCCAAGTCAGGCTCTGCACTGAAACTATGGAGCCTGCTTTGGATTCTCTCTCTCTTTCTCTCTGCCCTTCC